TAGTGTATTATATCATAAGTTATTACATGTTGCAAAATTAAAACAAGTTTACCTGGAAGGTGGAGTGTAATAATAGAAAGGAATATTGTCAACAACAATATATAGGCTAGGCTAATCTTTTTATTTAGCCTAAATATAGGCTATGACTTTTTTTTTTATAGCAATAGCAACATTTTAGAAAAAAATATTAAGAACTATTAGCGATTACAAAACATTTAGGTTTAATCTGCAAGTATCTTCATTCCAACAGTTGAACACTATTATGAATCCTTTGGTCACAATCAATTTCAAGGTCTTGAGAATTACTGTGGCTGTGCTTGAGAATGACACAGATTCGAATCCCATGAGTTCTCTATTTATCTTTGTTATAATGGCAACGAAAGCTCTCAGGGATTTATTCATTACAGTACTTTAATGAATTTTATGCTGTCCCTTTTTATATTTATGTTTGTAATTAAGACTAGAAATCACCCATCATTGACCTAGAAATGTACACATGAAGGTAATATTAAAAGTCTTGTCTTTACATTCTCCGTTTTGTCCTTTAACCTTTGTACTGGGTGACCAATATTAAATTAAGTTATTGTGAACAGATGGGTAATCTGTGAGAAAAACACCTGCTGTTTGTAGATGGTCTACACTAAGTTACTTAGTAAGCTATTGAATCAATGCAACTGGAACCCACTGGAACGTACTTTAAAACTATGGTGTCCTGCAAGGTACAAACTGCACGAACTGCTGGACATACTGAGGAATAGACAGCGCATTAGGGACACCTAGGGGCTTATACAGGCAGCTGCCTTACATCCACTCCTCCTTTGATTGATGGCGACCCAGCCATCAGATCAAATTAAATGCTAATGCTAAATACTACAATGCTAATACTAAAACCACCCAACACCCATAAGTACAGGACAAACAAAAAGAAAACCCAGAAGAGAGTGTTCAAATGAATGAATGAACATGTTGTTTTAACGGCATACATGTAACTGTGACTGAGTGTATGCAGCAATAATGTGTTGCAAGCACTGCTGCTCTTCTCGCTTTCACCCTCTGTCGTAACTTCCATCCCCTCTCCAGCTTCTTCTGTTCGCTCTCTGACCTCTTGACCTGTGACTCATAGGACAGCTTCTTTGAGGCATGACAATTTCTTGGAGGATTTCTCCCAGGAAGAATGAGACCTTGAGATGCACCAGCACCGCTGATAGTTCCATCTGCCTCCACATCACTCATTTGCCTTGCCTCCGTGTCCACATCCATTTCGTCTGCACCATCCTGTCCATTTGATGTCTCCAGTCGTCTTCTCTCCACCTTATCCTCCATATCACCCACTACTAAGTCCTTGGCTGCATCCACCTCCGTGCCAGCATCTCCTGCATCTGAATCCTGCTCGACCACCCGTCTTGCTTTATCCACCTGGTCAACTGAAAGAAACATGCACTGTGTGAACAGGTTACAGTGGACCACCCTCTCTGCTTCACCATCCTCCTGTCGCAGAACATATACAGGCACACCATGTTGCTTTTTCACCACAATATATGGTCGAGGCTCCCATCTGTCTCCAAGCTTCTGCCATCCCTCCACATGACACACTTTGACCAGGACTCTGTCCCCTGGACTGAAGGCTTGATCCCAAATTTAATTTTCGGCTTTATTTTTTTTTTAGGTGATTAAGTAAAACAGCTGGCACCCGCTACTTTAAGACTAGCAATTACCCTAAGTGACTAGCAGGACTAGTAGCTCCTTAGAAGGACATCAACCTGATTACAGATGTTTGTGTTTTGCCACCTGCCCTGCTCTGCTTGACTCCTTCCACCTCACCAGCATCATCAGCACCTGACCAGCATCCGACCAGCAGCTGACCACCACATCATCAGCACCTGACCAGCACCCGACCAGCAGTTGACCTACACCTGATGAACCACACTGGTTGTTCTTCATTGTGTCCAGATGTTCCCTATCTGAGCGAACAATCTGGTCGAGTGGGGGGGTGCAGTGTACAAACAGTGTGGATTTGTGCATTTTATATCAAATAATTTGGAGACTCAAAATTCCTTCTCTCTCTCTCTCTGAGAGAAGGAGGAGGGGGTTTGGGATATTAACCCTCAACAGACAGCTGAAGTGACCCAAAGGAGGTGGGTTGAAAGGTTGCTTTCCCTAAATGCTGTTTCTGGGCAGTTCGATCATAAAAACTTGCCACCTCTGATGCCGCAGCCAGAAAACGCGGTGCCTGACTGTTAAAATGACAAAGAAACACTCACCAGAGATTAACTTTCTCCTGAACAGCGGAACTCTTCATAAGAGAGGGCAGGAAACCCTAAATTGCCCCCCCACACGTAACCATGGCAACTGACCTTCCTCTTTGTTGAATTACCTCAAATCAAAGGATATTCGCCTTTCACAGCCAGATGTAAATTTGTGAGGAACTCCAGGATACCAGGAGACACTTCCCTGAACTCTTTGTGTAAACAAAGTACTGTCTCCTCAAAACTCAAAGCGTTACCTTGTTTGATTAAATAATATTTTAGTTACTTGATTAGGTCTCTCCACTCCATTTGAGTAGTTATGTTACCATGTTGGTGTTATTTGTTTTTGAAAAGAATCTACTTTACTGTAAATGTAAATGCTCCGTATTTGTATAGCCTTTCTAGTCTTTTCGACCACTCAAAACACTATATCTGCATTCACCAGTCATGCTCAAACCGAAACTAACATTCACACACGCGGAACAGCCGCCAGGGGCAATTCGGGGGTTCAGTATCTTGCCCAAGGACACTTCGACACAAAACTGGGGGGACCTTCCGATTAACGGCCAACCCGCTCTACGTCCTGAGCCACGGACCTCATCAATCGCCCAGAAATGCTAAAAGCTTTGGGTGTGGAGGCGCTGTCTTAGATGAAACGTCTCCTTAACATTGCGTGGAAGTCGGGTACAGTGCCCAAGGAGTGGCAGAGTGGGGTGGTGGTTCCCCTGTTCAAAAAGGGGGACTAAAGAGTGTGTGCCAATTAAAGGGGTATCACACTTCTCAGCCTCCCCTGTAAAGTCTACTCCAAGGTGTTGGAATGGAGGGTTCGGCCGATAGTCGAACCTCGGATCGAAGAGGAACAATGCGGTTTTCATCCTGGTAGTGGAACAACGGACTAGCTCTTTACTCTCATAAGGATCCTGGAGTGGGCTTGGGAGTATGCCCATCCCGTCTACATGTGCTTTGTCGATCTGGAGAAGACATATGACCGGGTCTCCCAGGAGATACTGTGGGAGGTGCTGCGGGAGTATGGGGTGAGGGAGGCCCTTCTCAGCGCTATCCAATCCCTGTACAGTGAAGTGCCAACACCAGGTAGGGAATGAGTCCTTACCCCAAGTGAAGGAGTTCAAGTACCTCAGGGTCTTGTTCACGAGTAAGGGGAGATTGGAGCAGGAGATTGGCCGGAGAATTGGAGCAGCGAGGGCGGTATTGCACTTGCTTTACCGCACTGTTGTGATGAAAAGAGATCAGCCATAAGGCAAAACTCTCCATCTACCGGTCAGTTTTCATTCCTACCCTCACCTATGGTCATGAAGGCTGGGTTACGATCGAAAGAACGAGATCACGGGTACAAGCGGCCGAAATGGGTTTCCTGAGGCAGTTGGCTGGTGTCTCCCTTAGAGATAGGGTGAGAAGCTCGATCATCCACGAGGAGCTCAGAGTAGAGCCACTGCTCCTTTGCATTGAAAGGAGCCAGTTGAGGTGGTTTGGGCATCTGGTAAGGATGCCTCCTGGACGCCTCCCTAGGGAGGTGTTCCAGGCACGTCCAGCTGGGAGGAGGCTTTGGGGAAGACCCAGGACTAGGTGGAGAGATTATATCTCCACACTGGCCTGGGAACACCTCGGGATCCCCCAGTCAGAGCTGGTTAATGTGGCTTGGGAAAGAGAAGTTTGGGGTACCCTCCTAGAGCCGCTGCCCCTGCGACCCGACCCCGGATAAGCAGATGAAGATGGAAGGATGGACCTGCGTCACTTAATGATGGTTTGTACCATGTAAGTTACCGACTTAGTTACCTCCAAAGATCGAATTAGGGTTTTGGGAAACAGTTGCGTAGCTACGGTTAGCAACGATGCTATTAGGAAACAAACCCCTGGTTGATAGAAGGTTTGCGAAATAATTTCATGGCACCTTGAAAAAGCATGGCTAGTATTTTTGAAATACAAAAATACAGTAGTTTATTTTGATCCACTTAACATGTGTATTTGGTATATTTTCCCCCACTGCTACTGATAAACCAAACCTGATCCAGCATTAACTCAGATACACGAAGCCTTCATAAAGTGCATTAGGATAAACAAGCATAGAGTAGTTTTTTATGTTTTAAAGTGATGAAAGAAAAAGACCAAACTGCATAAATTCTAATTAATAACTGAATAAAATCAGCCCACATTAACATATTAGTGTCTGATGTGATCCCTGTTTGTCATACCAGCTAGATCACCACTGGAAAGGTCCTGGGTGATATAAAATGATATGTAGAAAAGAGTGGGAACCCTGTCATTTATCTGTTCTGGGGATTTTCATTCACTAAAACTTGTATTTAATTAATGTTTTCAGTGAGACGAGCAGCTTCTTAGGTCAGATGTCTTTAGGATAATGTTGGAATGAAAACTCAAGAGCCGTTAGAGGCCAAACTACATTCATGTTCAACAATTATTTAGACTGACTTTCAAAGATTATTTACAATCCTCATTAACAGCAATTTTTACATTAAACAAAAGACTGATCTGTTGTTTGAAGTTACAAGTAAAGCTAAGCCTTGCTCTGTTAGTTAGCTGTTACCTAATAACATTAGCAAACTTGCTATCTATAACAACTGTAAGTTTTAAACACTGTATTTAATACTGTAAAATATATAAATAAATAATAGTGTGTCTTATATATGGTTAAATTGTGCAAAAACAGTGTTTGTGGGGATCAAAGAAAAGAAATTATACATGAACAGAATAAATCTAGACTATTTGTTGAGTTTGTCTTCAAACCTTTATTGAAGTGAACAAGAAGCTCTGCAGCCATCAGCAGCTACTAGATGCTGCTCCAAGTCCACACAGTTTGTACACGAGTTCAGCCCTGAGGAGATCATTTCACCATTTCTAAGAAAACACATTTCTGACCTTAAAAGGCACAAACAGTAAGCCATTTGTTAACCAAAGTGAAGCCTTGTCCACCACCATTTAAACCACAGGACTGGAAGTTGTCCCCCTCCTACAGGGAACACAGAAACACTGAGGAACCAGACCAGATCAGAAACCCAAACCCAGGATAAAGAGGTTCAGTGAATGTGGTGTTGAAGATGTGGAGGTGGATCAGTGTGTCAGAGGAGACTCTGTAGAAGGACAGAGTGCCAGCAGGACAGTCCACATACACTGCTACTCTGTTAGAGGAGGAGGAGGAGGAGGACGACGACGAGAGATGGAGGTCTGTTCTTATGTTATTGTGCCAGACAGAGTAACGACCATCAGACCAGTTGAGACTCCAGGACTGATTATTCATTCCAAACACACAGTCTTTACTGTATCCTCTCCTTCTGATTCCTCTGTAACTCACTGATATAGAAACACTTCCTCTCCACTCGACCTCCCAGTAACAGCGACCAGTCAGACCATTTCTACACAGCAGCTGTTCCCAGCAGTCAAATCTTTCTGGATGATCGGGATATGGCTGCTTCTCTCTCACATGTCTCACCTTCCTGTTGTTGTCAGACAGTTTGAGGTTTCTGTGTGCTGCGTTTGTGTCCAGTGTGAGTTCACAGAAATCTGATGGAGAGAACGAGACACAACACAGCAGCAGTTTATCATCAGACACATCTGAAGGTTTATTCTTTGTTTGTGTGCTGATGATGTTCATTTCTATAAAGTTTAATGATGATGCCTTTAGTCAGTAATGTTTGAATGAATAAATACCACAACTATCAACTTTGTATTGTCATCATGAGTCAGATTGAATCCACACTTACACTTCCTCAGACCAGGTTTTAACCTCTGCTCTCCACCATGGTCCACCCTGGAGGAAGAAACACAGTCAGAGTGATTTTCTATCCAACATGAGTCCTAACTGCTGTTCAACATGAAGCAGTGTTCCTCAGTTTGTCAGTGTGACAGAAAAACAGGCTGAAACTCATCTGTGTCAACTGTCTCCAGGATTATTTCACTGTCTGAGAGAAAAAGACTTGAAGAAGAAGACAGTGTGTATGTGTGCGATTGTGAGAGATCTAAATCAGACAGAAACTCCCCTTCTTAATGGGAGAAATGCCTAAATGTTAAATCACTGCAGCAAAATGTATGTCCTCATGCCACAAACTGAGAACAACCAGTTTCCACTGGTACAGTTTGCACTGGTTGCTCTCCTTTCTTCTGAACACATTTTCATCTCTTGTCCCTCCTTCATTTCACCTGCTTTCACATTTAATGTCTTCTGAGTCCCTGGATCACAAATGTGCAGTTAATCAACCTGCTGTCCCTTGCTGTGATGCCCATCTTCCTCTTCCCTAGTTGACTAATCTGTGTGACAAAATAGTCCCTCAAACATAGTCAGATCAGCTAACATTAGCAAGTGAGTAGTGATGGGTGGATGAAGCATTATGAAGCTTCGGGGCTTCAAACTCAAACATTCTTCACAGACAAAATTCAAACAATTAGACAATCAGTGCCTCCATGTCAGTAACACGATATGTCTTGTCCCTGTGTCCAAATGTTTGTAACTGCATGGCCTCAGATCTACTACAAATTGTCAGCATGCCTCTCCTCTCAGGTTTTCCCCCCACAGGCCCTGAAAACTGCAGTCATTAAGCCACTCTCAAAAAAGAACAATTCACTAATGAGCAATTATAGGCCCATATCAAATCTCCCATTTTTAAGTAAAATCATTGATAACAGCTCAACAACAGCTTGGTGCTTTCTTGGCACTAAATAACTGTTTTGATGCCTTCCAGTCAGGTTTTCGGGTTTTACCACACCATAGCACTGAGACAGCGCTTGTTATGGTCTTCAATGACATCCATTTAAACACTGACAGTGGCAGAATTTCAGTCTTAGTGTTATTGGATCTCAGTGCTGCATTCAACACGGTCGTAACATATTACTAGACAGACTTGAAAACTGGGTTGAACTTTCTGGCACAGTACTAAACTGGTTTGAATCCTACTTAAAGGACAAGTACTACTTTGTGTCTATAGGTAATCACACATCTAAGCTGACAAAAATGACATGTGGAGTTCCCCAACATTTACATGCTTCCACTGGCTCAGATTATGAAAAACAAAATATGTTACCGTAATTACGCAGATGACACACAGATTTACATAACCATTTCACCAGGGGACTATGATCCCATACAAGTGCTGAGTAACTGTATGGAGCAGGTCAACGATTAGATGTGCCAGAATTGTCTTCAATTAAACAAAGATAAAACTGAAGTTATTGTTTTTGGAGCCAGGGAGGAACGATTGAAAGTCAGTGCTCAGCTTCAATCTGTAATGTTAAGAACCACAAATCAAGCCAGAAATCTTGGTGTAGTCATGGACTCAGACCTGAATCTGAGGAGCCACATTAAGACAATTACAAAGTCAGCCTACTATTACCTGAAGAATATATCAAGGATTAAAGGTCTCAGCAAGACCTGGAAAAACTCGACTACTGTGACGGTGTCTTTACAGGGCTCCCTAAGAAATCCATCAGTAAGATGCAACTGATTCAGAACGCAGCTGCTCGAGTCCTCACTAAGACCAAAAAAGTGGATCAAATCACTCCAGTTCTGAGGTCTTTACATTTGCATACTTCCTGTATGTCAAATAATTTATTTCAAAATCCTGCTGTTAGATTATAAATCACTAAATGGTTTAGGGCCAAAATACATTTCTGATCTTCTGTTTCGTTATGAACCATCCAGACCTCTCAGGTCGTCTGGGGCAGGTCTTGAGACTCAGACACGGCATTACATTTGTTTGGCAATTACATTGACATTAAATGACAGAAAATAGATACAGAATGTGATCTCATGTTGTCTGTCCAAACCTGAGAGTGTCCAGTCTCCAGTGTGGGTCCTCCAATCCAGCAGACAGCAGCTTCACCCCTGAGTCTCCTGGATGATTGTAACTCAGGTCCAGCTCTCTCAGATGGGAGGGGTTGGAGCTCAGAGCTGAGGCCAGAGAAGCACAGCCTTCCTCTGTGATCAGACAGCCTGGAATCAGGAAATCATACACTATTGTGTTTTAGAAAATCATGTCAGCAGGAAAATCCTACAGACCATTTTCACATACATGAACCTAAAACCAGCTGAGGAGGATTTAAAAGAAACAGCTTAATACTAACCTGAGAGTTTCCAGTGTACACTGGACTCTCGAGTCCAGCAGTCAGCAGCTTCACTCCTGAATCCTGCAGGTTGTTGATACTCAAGTCCAGCTCTCTCAGACTAGAGGACTGGGAGCTGAGAACTGAGGACAGAGCTTTACAGCTTCTCTCTGAGAGGTTACAGCCACTCAACATGAAAAAGGATAAGCATTTTTTAGCATATGAGCCCTGAACACTTCATCCATGCACTTAACTTCAGAGTATTAACAGTTAAACCAGAAACCTGAGCCAAGTGGATCCAAGTTCAGACATGCCCTGCATGTTTCATTGATGTGAGCTCAGACTACAGACTGCTGCTGATTCTACTTGAGAAACATGAACAATATTACAGGGAAATCTTTCTGAAATCATTGTTCTTTAACTCTGAGATCTGCTGTAGAATTTCTCTCAGAGATATTTAGAAACAGCCAATCAGCATTTCTACTGTCCAGTTAAACAGTGATCCAGCACAATGTGATCAAAGTGATCCTGATTATCAGACATTTACATATTCTCTGGTCGGATTCTCACCTGCTGAACTCACTTCAGGTCGACTTACAGACACTTTGCACCTTCATGTGTGGAGGAAACACTGGGAGAGAAGAAGCTGCTCATTTCTTCCTCGTCAGTCCTGGTGTCTGTGCGCATCTGATCTGAGGACGCCGTCACATCCACGCCTACAAAAAAAAAAAAAAAAAAAAATATCAGAGGGACATCAAAACTGGTCTAACCTGTGGCAGAAACCCAGTCAGTATCAGAGGAATCACACATCAGGTGATGTAGTTCTGCTACCTGTCCACTAGATGCTGCTAACTAACCATCTGGTGAACTAAAGATCAGCTCAGCACTGAAAGATGTCATGATGCAGTAGTGTGGATCACGTTGGTACGCTACGATATTTTGGACATGTTGGTTTGTAATGAGGCAGAATGAAGCTTGAGATCCCCGGGCAGGGCCCTTCACTCAGTCCTGGTTCCTAACAAAGGGGGACCAGAACCTCAGGCTGCCACAGATGGTGTCTGCTTTTAAAGCTTTTCTTCAAACAGACTTTGGCTTCCAAACATTTTTCTTTAAAGGCCATTTTACTTGTTTGCCCCTGTAAAGACTTTACCTTTGTTTTAAAAGGTGTTAAACAGATAAAGTCTGTAATTATTGTCACTTCTAATAGTGCTACTACTACAAATACTGCTTCTGTAAGACAAGTACAATATCTACTGCTGGGACTGAAAACTGCTGAGAGGTCAGGGTCCGGCTGTATGTGCTTCTGTGAGGACAGTATTTGTGAAGACACTTTCTATGAAAAGAACATTTGCGTAGGCTCTAGCCTCTAGGGAAAAGCAGTCAAACATAAAGGACACATTAAGTGCATTTTCAGCTTCATACTTTTATTTGGGGTTTGTACTAAATATTGTTTACATACTTCAATGTTCAAAAAACATGTAATGTTTCTAATACTGTCCTTTGTTTCAGCACTTCCTTTCACCCTCTGTCTAAACACTCAGTATTAGCTCCTGTCTCTTTAAGGTCCCCCTCCCTAAAAGTCCACTTTCTGCTGATTGGTCAACTTCTGGAAGCCTGCAGGGGGGCAGTAACTAGCTGCAATTTATACTTCTACCTTGAATCGAAGGCGTAGCCTCTGTGTAGCCCCTATCAGCTGGGTAGCCTCATAATGCCTCTGAGCTGACAGGGAAGTTCCGTGCTTTGAAGTAAATTTTACTAGGCCAAGACCAGCGGCTGTAACAAAGTGGATCAATATATTTGACTGTAATTATAAATATACTGTCAGTATATTACAGTACCCCCTCCCCGACGAGAGCCTCCCGGCGATCCTCCAGGCCTCTTGGGGTGAGAGCGATGAAAAGCCCGTAAGAGGGCTGCATCCAAAACCTGTCGTCAGGGAACCCAGCTCCTCTCCTCAGGGCCATAGCCCTCCCAGTCGATGAGATACTGTATGCTGCGCCCTCGTAGGCGGGAGTCCAGAACCCGACGTACCAAGGTGGCCATCAATGAGTCGGGCGGGTGGAGGGGCCGGGAGAGGAGGGAGCAGGGGGCTGATGAGGACAGGCTTGAGCAGGGACACGTGGAACATAGGGTGAACCTTAAGTGTGGGGGGCAGACGAAGCCGAACGGTCACTGGGGTGATAATTCTCTCCACCACCAAGGGCCCAATGTATTTCTGAGACAGCTTCTTGGAGTAAGTCCTCAACGGAAGGTCCCGGGTGGAGAGCTACACCTTATCCCCTACGGCGTAGGAGGGTGCAGGGGTACGACAACGGTTGGCGTGATACTCATACCGAGCAGACGTCCTCAGGAGGGTGGCTCGAGCTCTGTGCCAGGTGCGGTGGCATCTGCTGATGTAAGCTTGGACAGAGGGGACAGCCAACTCTCTCCCCTGAGAGGGAAACAGTGGAGGTTGAAAACCATAAACACATTGAAAGGGTGACAGACCTGTGGCGGACGTAGGGAGAGTGTTGTGTGCGTATTCCACCCATGGCAACTGGGAAGCCCAGGAAGTGGGGTTGGAGGACACCAAGCAACGCAGAGTCTCCAGCTTCTGGTTGGCTCGCTATGCCTGGCCGTTAGCTTGGGGATGGAACTCCGAGGTGAGGCTGACTGTGGCCCCGATGGCACGGCAGAACACCCTCCAGACTGCTGATGTGAATTGTGGACCCCGGTCTGAGACAATGTCCAATGGTAGACCATGGACTGTGAACACCACCGAGACCAGGAGTTCAGCGGTTTCCTTAGCTGTGGGTAGAGGCAGATAACGTGCAAATTTGCTAAAGCGTTCCACTACAGTGAGTACCACAGTCATACCTTTCGAGGGGGGCAGCCCAGACACGAAATCCAGTGATAGGTGGGACCACGGATGACGAGGTATGGGTAGAGGCTGCAGGTATCCTGGAGGAGGCCGGTTGGAGCCTTTTTTTCTATGCACAGACGGGACAGGCAGAAACAAAGGCATGGACATCGGCCCTCATATCTGGCCACCAAAAACGTCTGCGTAGGAAGGCCAGAGAGCGGGTCACCCCCGGATGGCATGAGAGTTTGGAGGAGTGACCCCACTGTAGCACAGACGAACGAACAGAGAGGCACAAACAAGCGGCCCGGGGGGCCGTTACCTGGGTCTGGCTGATGCTGAAGGGCCGTTCTCACCTCCTTCTCAATCTCCCATAGGGCCGCCCCAATGATACAAGTCTTGGTATTATGGTGTCTGGGTCTGGCGTAGTCCCCTCTGACGAACATCCGAGATAGAGCGTCAGGTTTAGCAGTCCTGGATCCGGGCCTGTAGGTAAGGGCAAAATTGAACAGACCAAAGAAAAGCGCCCACCTGGCCTGACGGGGGTTCAGGCGCTTCGCCGAGCGGATGTATTCCAGGTTCTTATGGTCGGTCCAGACCACAAACGGTTGCTCGGTGCCCTCGAGCCAATCCTCGAGGGCCATCTTAACGGCCAATAATTCCCAGTTCCCGACATCATAATTCTGTTCAGAGGGACACAACAAGGGTGAAGCTTATCCTCCTCGAGTGACCTTTGGGACAGGACGGCTCCCACCCCTATGTCTGAAGCATCCACCTCCACCACAAACTGTTGGGACGGGTCAGGACTGGTGAGGATGGGGGCTGACGTAAACCTCTTGGGTTCTAAAAAAAGCTCCTTCAGCCTCAGAGGTCCAGTGGAATGGCCTAGCTGGAGAGGTAAGTGCAGTTAATGGTGCAGCAGTGCGGACGTAATTTCTTATGAAATGTCTGTAAAAGTTGGCAAACCCCCAAGAATCTCTGTAGCTGTTTCCTAGAGTCTGGTCGGGGCCAGTCTAAAACTGCTCTCACCTTCGCTGGATCCATCCTCACCTGTCCCTTAGCGATGATGTGGCCGAGGAATGTTACAGTGGAGGCGTGGAACTCGCACTTCTCTGCTTAAACGAAAAGGCAGTTTTCCAGGAGACGATAGAGGACTTGTCGGACATGCTGGATGTGTTCTGGGAGAAGATTAAGATATCGTCAAGGTAGACAAAAACAAATCTGCCCAGCATATCTCTAAGCATGTCATTAATCAAACACTGAAATACTGCAGGTGCGTTAGTCAGGCCAAAAGGCATCACCAAGTATTCAAAGTGTCCCAGGGGGGTATTGAAGGCCGTCTTCCACTCGTCCCCCTCCCGGATGCGAACCAAATGATAGGCATTGCTGAGATCTAGCTTAGGGAAAAAAAAAAAAACAGAGGCTCCCTGGAGGGATTCAAATGCAGAGTTCATGAGAGGTAATGGATACTTCATATCATTCAACCCCCTGAAGTCGATGCACGGGCGGAGGGTCCCATCCTTCTTGCCCACAAAGAAGAATCCGGCTCCTAGGGGTGAAGATGAAGGACGGATGATACCTGCTGCCAGTGAGTTGTTTATGTACTCCTCCATAGCCGCCCGCTCCAGTTTGGAGATGTTGTATAGACGACTGTGGGAACGTAGCTCCAGGTAGCAAGTTTATGGCGCAGTCATAAGGTCGATGAGGTGGAAGACATAGCGCCTCCTGTTTACTGAACACCTCCGATATCTCGTGGTATTCCGCGGGGATGGATGACAGGTCGGACTGGTTCAGGTCTCTGTGGGTTCACAGGGGAAGGCAGAGCAGACCGCAAGCAACTAGCAAGACAGGTAGGACTCCAGTTACGGATCTTAGTGGCTGCCCAGTCAATGTGAGGATTGTTTTTAGTAAGCCAAGAGTGCCCCAAAACCAACGGAATGAATGGCGAGTCTATCACAAAAAAGAAGATTGTTTCAAAGTGATTACCTGACAACTGGAGCTGAACCGGGCAGGTGCAGGTCGTCACTCGAGCAAGCAGACTCCCGTCAAGTGTGCTAGCCTCCAGCAGCTCTTTTAGCTGCTCTGTGGTTAATCCCAGCTGCTTCACCAACGTGGTGTCCAGAAAACTCTCGTCTGCTCCTGAGTCGATGAGCGCAAGGAGCTCCAGGGTCCCCCAGCTGATAGTGGCGTGTAGCTGAGTTTGAGGACGGGAAGACTGAGGCTTGGTCGCCCTCTGGTTTAACAGTCAGTTAGGGCAGGAGGCGATGTAGTGACCAGGTAGACTACAGTAGAGACAGGCGTTTTCTTTCCCGGCAGCGATTATCTATCCGAATTGACAGGGTAGAGATTATCCAAACATTCAGGTTCAGGGTGGGACACTAGTTCATCTTTCAAGTGTTCATTTAGCCCATTGGTGAATACCGACAGAAGAGACGCCTCATTCCATCCGCTCTCAATGGCCAGGGTCCTGAACTCAACGGCGTACTCAGCCACGCTCCGGAGTCCCTGGCAGAGGGTGAGCAGTCTCATGGAGGCGTCGTTACCTCGAACCGGGTGGTCATATACCTTAGTCATCTCCGTGGTAAAGGCGGCATAAGAGGTGGTTATCCGGTCCTGCCTCCTCCAGTGAACCGAGGCCCATTCCAACGCTGCTCCGCGCAGCAATCCGATGAGGTAGGCAATTTGACCTTTCTGAGGCATAGGTGAGGGGTTGGAGAGCGAAGATAAGACCACATTGCATGAGGAAAGTTTGGCATTGGCCTAAGTTGCCATCATACCTCTGTGGTGGGGATACCCACGGTTTCCTGGCGGAGCTTGCGGCTGCTGATGCGGCAGGTGCGGGTGGAGGACCTTGCAGGGAGTCCTGGAGGTTTCCCATGCGGATTGACAGATCTTGTAGTCCTCCCATGATTTCCTGAAGGGCAGTGCTGTGTTGGTCCAAGATCGCTCCCTGAGTGGAGACTGCATGGTGGACCGGCTCTAGGTCTGCTGAGTCCATTCTGGCCAGATCGTTCTGTCAGGACCGGGGGCCAGAAACTCAAACGCAGACTAGAGAATTGCATAGAAGTGGTTTATTGAGCACAAGGTGACCTGGGAGAGGTTGGGGCGAGGTGGTCGTTCTGAGGGCCTGCGGTTCTGGTCCCCAAGCTTAGATGATTCCGGGGCACAGGAGGGAATCCACGTGATGCATGTGCAGGTTTCCTGAGGTCGAGACAGAGAGAGCAGTTAAACACTGGTACAAAGGTTCAGACAAGATACTGAAACTAAGACTGGCTAAAACTGGCTGGCGTTTTCGTACGGTTAGGTACAACGATCCGGCGGTGATTGGAAGGTTGGCAGATCTCTTAAAGGCGTGTTGATTGCAGGCAGAGGCCCTGGTGTGCTGATTGCGGATGTGCTTCAGGTGGGAAAGCCTGGAGCTCAGATCACCACGCCCACCAGCAGCCTCAGGGCAACAGGCAGGCCAGGGTCACGACCGGGGGTTCGTGACATATACAGTCTACAGCCTGAGTAGTCGTCTGGTTTATTAGAAGAAGTGAAGTGAAATTTGGACAAATTGAGGACGACACATATTATATAGCTTGAGGCAACAGAGCGTGAATCTTTGTCGGTTAAGCGAAAACATGAGTTGTGTAAAGGTGAATGGAGTTTCAACGATAGGCTTCAGATAGGGAGTCTGATGCAGGGATGTCCCCTGTCAGCATTAATCTATGCTTTATCAGTGCAGCCTCTAGCTTTGCTGATTAAGAGGGATCAGCGGGTGGAAGGGATAACGCTGCCATATGGGGTGTGTGTCATAAATCAATCTGCGGACAACACAACAATCATGGTTTAGGGAGGAGACGGCATTAAAAGGGTATTGGAACTGGTGGAGAAAGATGAGAGAGCTTCAGGTGCAAAGTTGAATAAAGACAAATCTGAGATAATGTATAGGTAGGGTGGAGAGAGTAGACATAGGTTTAAGGGTGGAGGAAAGGCATATGAGAGTGCTGGGAGTACATTTGGGGGTGGAAAGTAAGGAGGCAACAGATGTGACTTGGACAGGGGTGATTAATAAAATAAGAACTGTATGCAGAAGGTGGAGGGCAAGGAAGTTAAAGTTCAAAGAGAAAGTAATTGTCAACAGTTGGTTGCTGTCAGTATGTGTTTATGTGATGAATGTAATTGAAATGCCAGAGTGGGTAATAACTGATTTGAACAAAATTGTGTGATTTTATATGGGAGGGGAAGGGAGATGAAACTGCACAGAAAACATTGGTGTGCAAAAGTTTCAAGGGAGGGCTAAATCTAATGGATCTAGAAATAAAAAAGGGAGCGCAGAGAATAAAGACGAAAGATAAAGATAAAAAAATATTTGGTGGGAAGATCGGGTGGAAGGAGTACCTGGGGGAAGAAAAAAAAAAAAAATATATATATATATATATGGAAGATGTGGGAGGTATAGGGGAGTATGGCTGGTACATGGGTTTCAAACAGTCAATGACAGTATTTATAGGGAGGGGTTAGAGGCGTGGAGGTTTCTACTGAAGGTGGAGTACGAATGTGACGTAATTCTTGTGAATGTTGGTGAATTTACCATTGTTTTTAAATGAAAAAAAGTAAACACAGTGGGAAAACACTATATGAACCTAAATTTATGGAAGGAGTAATAAAGCAAATTAAGGACATCATGTGTGAGGTTTTCCCTGGGTTTCTCAGAGGGAACTGCATCTATGCCACGGTGTGTGACGTGGAGGGGATGGAGAACGGAGAGAAAGTAAATAAAATATACAAGAGGATCAAAGCAAGTATAACTTTAGAGTGGGCCACTACCATTGAAAGTGTATGCGTGGTCAAAAGAGGGGAAAGCATGCCTGAGTGGTATGTGGTGGAGAATAGGAAGACATGAGTTTGAACAAAGTCTATAGATGGTTGTGATAAAGGAGAAGGCAGCAGAGAAAATGTGCAGCAGTGTTTGTGGATCGGATGTGAAGAAAACATGGTAATAACAAAGAGTGTGAGACCAATTATTTCCTGATCAAACACAACACAATTTGCACAAATATGGCGCTGAATAAAATTACTAATAAGGTTAACGTGGATATTGAATTGATCTGCAGGTATAGAGGGGTCAAAGTGCAAAGCTTTTTCGTGAGTTTGGAAGTTAATTTATGAGGAGAATGGAATGAATAATTTTTGAACTGTGGGTATAAGGAAACTGTAAATGTTCATAGAATTCTGGTCTTGTTTGAACAATGTAAATCTGAGAATTAAAATCAAATAAAACATTTTTTTAAATAGAACACGTCCTATCTTGGAAGGTAAGCAGGGCGGGGCCTGGTTAGTACTTGGATGGGAGACTACCTGGGAACACCAGGTGCTGGAAGCTTTTTCTCTTCTCTTTACAAACAGCAGCTGCTGCTGCTTCTTCAGTGGAGACAGAGCTTTGAAAAGCTGATTTTCTTTTATGCAGAAATCCAGATAAAGGGTTCACATAGTTTTTCTTGCAACAAGTTCATTCATACATATATTCACTACAATACTTATACTTTAATCTGTGCTTACATTCATACATCTCATAGTTCACGTATGCTAAAAGTAGCAAGTTAATTTTAAGTTTTCTTCAATTGTGTTGCATAATAAATTATTTTAAAATTGTGCAAACATCTAACTGCGGGTTACTTTAAAAGGAACCTTCATCATATTGATAATGTGAACATTTGATCGATTTGATCTGCCAGATTTAATCTTGAACACTGTCCACGTAATCAGCTGAGTCAGTGTTACGGTAAAGAGATCAAACTTGTCAAAAATTCAGGAGTTTATTTTTGATCCACTGCTACTGACAAACCAAACCTGTTCCAGCACTAAGTTAGACACACAGCGGGGGATCAACAGAAGACGAAGTTCATCTGATTCACGTGGTTTGTTTATTATTATTTATATTTGACTTGGTTACATCCTTAAACTCACATGATGCATTCTGACAATTAAAGCCTTCATAAAGTGCATTAAGAGAAACAACAAGCATAGATCAGTTTATACTCAGTGACTTGGTTCAGACTCTGAAGACATTTTCTGTTTTAATAAAAGACACCACTTAATTTCACATCTGATTTCTAGCTTTAAGGTTTGAGGTGATAAAGCTTGAACATTTAAAGACACGTTCATGATCAAAATCCGTCACGACAACAACCTGCAGAAATATAAAACACCAGTTTGTTCATTATTCAGCTCTGTTACTGTCTGACGCTGCTGTTAGTGATTATAAAAGGAGGTGATTATTTAACTTTAAAGGTGGAGTCAGCGATTCAAATCCAACACACGTCAGATTCAGTGAGTATCTCCTCACATCCCGCTAGCTGCCTGTTCTGCGAGCTCTGAAAATAAATCAGGTGTTTGTACTCAGCTCTGCCTCTGATAATAGAGTTACAAAGACAACACTATTCCAGCCATGATTCGATTCGTGTGTCAGTAATGTTAAATAACTCTCCCACTTTCTAGTTCACCGAGACATGCTGTTGTTGTGATGTTAGCTGTAGCAGCAGGAGAGCTGCTGGTGTCGCTGTCTGGAGCTGCTGTGCTGCTCTGGGGCCGTCTCGTCCTCTCTGCATGTTAGCTTCCTGTTAGCTTCGCAGCAGCTGTAACGACAGTATGCTAACCCGTTCGCACTGTATCATGATGTTGGATTTCTCCAGAATCGCTTACCCCGCCTTTGACAAGTTAGTACATGTTATAATCTGTGAAAAGACGCCCAGCGACAGTCAGAGGATCTTGACGTCCAGCAGCGTGACGTCACCCAGCACCTCCAGCTGGTTGATGCGGCTCAGGTCCTGGACTCGGTGCTTGTAGTCCAGCTGGTGGAGCCCGTTGACGGCGACTTTGAACTGCTGAGAGTCACACAGGATGATCATCTGCAGGGGAAACACAGCGACTGTTTATTTATAAAGCACTTATCAAACCCAGAGATCACAAAGTGCTTTACAATAAACACGACACCTTCCACTGCGGTGCTTCTTATAAAGATAAATCATCGTAATCATCTATCACCCATGACATTCACATTATGTAAGACACTTCAGTAAATTAAATTAATTTCAGGAGGTTTAAAAACATCAATGTCTCATCACACTGGCCGATTTAAAACTTCTGACAGCAGCAGAGCTGTCAGCCTCATATGATAAAATATATGAAACTACAGAGCAGCTTAACCTCAGCAAAATATAAACAGCTAAATATAAATGTACAAATATTTCACTGTTGTATAAATGCTCCAACAAGGATCATATGCAATGACAATGAAACGGGGCCCGAAATGGCGCCCTGGGGCACTCCAAAGTTTACAGGGGATGGCGGGATATACTAAATATATTCCAGTTACGCTTCCATCAGAACAAAATGATCGCGGCATCATCACGAGGAAGGCTGAAGGGTTTTCTTTAGATTTTAAGTCACGTGAAACCAGAAAGCAAACATTTAAAACGTGCTCAATGAGCGTCTGGCGTTGGCCGGGTACCTCGAAGTACTTTCCCGCAGTGAAGGGGAAGGAGGCCAGGGTTTTCTCCTCGGGGCCCCAGCACTCGGACAGGAAGGAGTTTCTGACGAAGACCTTTTTCTTCAGACGAGGGTTCAGATGAAGAGCGATGTCAGTGCTGCCGGACACTCGCAGGTTTACACCAAAACTGAACCAGAACCAGAAAATTATGTAAACAGATCAGGTTTACCACCTTCAGGCTGAAGGAGCTAAAGTTAGACAGGTGTGTTGTTTACCTCTGTGCGTTCTGATTGGTTTCTCCTTTAATTCTGATGCTTTTTCCGACTCTCAGCCCTTTAACCAGCTCACCTCTGAAGGGAACGCTCTGTAGAAAACAAGCTTTCATCAGGCAGAAGATCAGGGACACTCAGAACCAGGTCTCAGATCAGCTGAGAGACCAAACAAGGAAGAAAGCTGATCTGAAAACACGAGCAACTACATTCTGCCCTGATTCACTATCAGTACTTCTGATTTTGTCACTACATTCTGATTGATTCCATTTTCTTGCCAATATTTGGGACTACGTCACAGGTGTGCAAATATAAATTCAATTCATTTACTCACTTTGTCCGACCTTTTTAGTTGCTATACATGTCAGAGGTCGTACACCTCTGGAGCAACGAGGGGTTAAGTGTCTTACTCAGGGACACCACGGTGGACGTGTCACAGTGGGGAGCTGAACCCGGATCTCCCACACCAAAGGCTTGTGTGTTAACCACTGCTCTATCGCCACCCAATATTTAACATTCAATCGTTTAAAAGAAGCAGAGAAGAAAACATAAATATAATAAAAAACAACCACAGTTACCAGCTAGCGGTCACTAATATTTTCCGTCAGAGAATAATGCAATTTACATTATTTCGAAATTTGAATTAATGTCACCAACCTGTGCTACACTGTGACTTGGGGGGGGGGGGGTGTTTATAACACTGCCCCAACTTAATGTTAAACTAACTGACAATTCTCTCGTTTTTCATGACTGGAAAATGGGTCTACTGTTTTCCAGGTGTTCCAAGAGGCGTGGGAACCCTGAGAGATATCCTGGCCTACACATCATATTTTACAGACTTAAGAAAACATCTTTGTTTGGTACAGCTCCTTGCAAAAATCACAACATAATTAATTTTAATGTGTTTTTCCAAAGAAAATGAGAATAATTACGTAAACAACAACATCGACCATCATGCATCAGTAAAACTCACCAAGTCGCCTGAAGAGGAGATTATCTGCTGGAAGATAAACAAAAAAAGAAGAAGAAGAAAAGTAAAAAAAAAAATGTTTATCTATAATTAGTTTGTCAGTAAAAACACATAATGTTTAATTTTAATTGTGGTGTACCACAGGGCTCCAACTTTAGGTCCTCTGTTGTTTTCTGTCAACACACCTCCCCTTGTGGACATTATTTATATGCTGATGACACTCAACTGTATTTAAACATGGTAACAATTAAACTTTGAAAATATTAAAACAAATTCTTATCTAAGATCAGAACAGAACCTGATGGGACTTCTGTTCAACAACCAAAACATTTCTTGATATATGAAACATATTAAATGAAGGACACATTTAGTGTTTTTCTCTGATGTCATTGACACCTCAAAAGGTAAACATTAATTGAAAAACAGTTCAGACAGTTTGTTCTTACATTCATCTCTGAGTTCTGGCTGGTCAGACTGGCTGCAGGAGAATCTGAACTCTGAAAACAACAACAACAAAACATCTCGTCATCTTCATCACAAGTTTTATCACATGAAGGGACAAAACCACAAATTTTTTTTTCTATCACAGAGGTTTTAACAGAGTGACTCACAGAGCTCGGGAGGATGCCTATAGCTTCAACGTTGACCTTTCCAGATATGTACAGAGTGTCGACCCGGTCCAGGTCCACTCTGTGTTTATACTCCAACACATGACCTCCGTTCACCGCCACCTGGAACAGGGGAAGAACATGTACTCAGATCCTTAATTTAAGTAAAAGCAGCAGTACAACAGTGTAAAAATACCACATTACACGTTAGAGTCCTTACTTCAATAAAAGTAATTATTAGCTTCATGCAGTTAAAGTATCAGCAGTAAAAGAACAACAGTATTATCAGGTTCATGTAGTTAAAACAGCACTAGTAAGCAACAAGGAACAGGGAAATATAAAAAAGACATTTATATACAGTTAGTTTAGTCCAGTCCTTCTCAACCTAGGGGTTGGATGTGAAATGATTAATGGGGGAAGTAAAAACACAGTTTTATTCTTATTTTGGACTTGCATAAAATACTGATAATATTGACTGTTATTGGCCAAATCTGAGATGTCTGATCACACATTTATTTATTTATTTTTATACAAACCAGGGCTGTTTCTCAACACTGATTTGCCAAGTTCGGACTTCTGTACTTCTTTGTGATTAAATGTGATCATGGTGTGAAGTCATTTTACTACATAAAGTTTGATGATTGTGAAAACAGGTTTGGGAAAGGTTTGTTTACGTCAGTCATTTCATATTTTCTATCATGATCAGTGGATGAACTTATTAAATCTGTCAAACTCCTCCATGTTGAATTTTAATTTAGATCACTACTGACTGGTGATATCGGTCGTGTTGTCACAGCCTCCTGCAGCTGCTCGTCTCTCACCTTAAACTTGTCCTTCAGGACGAGGACGATGATCTCGAACGTGGCCCCGGCAGCGAAGGGCATCTCGTACAGGATCTCCTCTCGGCCCCAGCGCTCCCCCTGCAATGAGTTGCAGACGATACACGGAGACTTCTGGAACCTCGGGTTGAAGTGAAACGCCACGTCGGCCCTCGGCTTCATGCTGCTGCCGCACGTGAAATCTATCTGGAACCTGCAAGACAGCACGGAGGGAAAACAGGGCGGGTGCGTTAACCTGGCTCTGTCTAAACAAAAGAAAACTCCACATGTTTCAGGTCTTTTTAAAATAAAATCTAGAGATGTCACCATCAGCTTGTAAACACAGGTGTAAAACCAGGTTGATCCTCCTTCATGACTTTGTGTTGTGAGTCCTCACCTGTCAGCGTTGGACGGCACTGAGCCCTGAAAGAGAACCATCTCACCGGGCAGCAACCCGCCCAGGATCGTCCCAGCAAAGGGAACCATCTGTGTGTGGGGGGGGGGGTCAGAAATATTCAGGAGATTAAACAGCTGGAAACATCTGGGGAGAGTTTGGTGACAGGGCTGTACATTTTTTCCAATCAATAAACTGAACAAATAATCTGCAGATTAATTGATGATGAAAATAATCGTTTGTTGCGGTCTAATCTGTAATCGACGCCAAACGTCTTTAAATTTACTAATGTTTTAATATTTCCTCGTGTATTTTCAAACGCTAATCAGCAAAAGTGACTCAATCTAAATAATAAATACAACTATAAGGGCCCGCTCTTTAATTCGGCCCCTATGAAACACACCCAACAAGGCTCAAGTGCAAATAAAACATGATTAAGAGTCCGCATAAAATATTCTTTAACGTTACTGAGCGGAATTAATTTAGGAAATAAAACTTTCAGGAGCAGATTTTTACTGAAATAAAGTTATTTGGAGTATGACATATATGCCGAATTCACGAGAAATACTAACTTGACCTAAATTAATATTTAAAGACATGTTATAGAGGAAAACGTCACATTAGACATATTTTATTCATCACTTTAAAACTAGGCGCTTAGCTAGGACGCTAGCTCGCCTCCTGAGCGACACCTTACGTCATACGATGAATTATAACGAAAATAAAAATGATTTTTAAAACGATAACACAGAAGAACAAACGCAGACAACATGGTACCGGGTTCCGAAAGGTCTGTCTCGGGTTTGAAATCGACATCCTGGATCAGAACACCTGCGGACCGAACTTAGCTTCTGCTTTACTTCCTGCTTAGACAGCGAGGACGCTGCGTACAAGGATGAGACACATAACGTCAGTACGCTCAGGACGTTTTAATGCAGAGTGTGGTGCGGCGTGATGACGTGGCTGTCCTCTCCTTGCAGATTGCAGTGGTTTGGTGGGAGAGGCTGATTCAACGTCTCATGATTCCAATAATGAAACTTATTGAGAGAAAAACAGCTGATCAACACTGAGGATCAATACAAATATAAATATAGTTCAACACTGACCGTTAAGATTAAGTACTCAGATGCTTTACTGCAGTAAAGTAAAAGTAAGCAAGTATAATCAGGAAAATGTACTTAAAGTACTAAAAGTTAAAGTACTCTCTGTCCTGAGACTGTTGTACCATCATATATTAGATTATTATGACTTCAGCGTTAAAGTAAAGCAGGATGTTGCTGCTGTAGTTGTTGAACTGATCAAACCGCAGCTGCTGATTGTTTTCTACATTAATTGATTTTTGAAATTCTGAAAATAGAGAGATGGCGTCTCTGTGGCCCAAAGTGACGTTTGGTCCAACAGAACAAAGCTCAACGTTATTCTGATTAAATTAAAAACAGTTTACGATTCACTCCTTTTAAGTGTTTTAACATCTTAAACCATCACAGTTGTTGGCAGTTAAATTAAATGTCAGTCTAATAATCCTGTCAGCTGTTGGAGTTTAATTTATAACATTTTATAAACTCTTCATGCGTTTGTGTGAAAATGTGACTTTGTAAAGTAACTGGAGCGGTCAGATGAATTTAGTGGAGTAAATATCTCCCTGTGAGATGGAGCAGAAGTAGAAAAACTCAAGTAAAGTAAAAGTACCTCTAAACTGCACTTGTCCCTGGTTAGTTTCCATCATGCTTCAAACGTTCCACATTCATCCAGAGATCATTTAAATTCAACACAAAACAGAAAAGTTACGACTTTAAACCACAGTTCTGTTTGGAAAATGTTTTTTAACCTATGAGGAACCTCCGTCTGATCCTAAAGAATAAGTGTTTTTAACTCATCCTCCCACAGCGAGTTGTGAATCATTAAATGATTACAGTGAGATTCGCCTGCGGTTACTTTCCCACGTCTCCACATCAGCTCATTAATATTTAGTTTCAGTTGAACACGACTCCCTGCCTCTGGTGTTTCTGCCAGTACAGACAGGTTCTGGCTTTTGTTTTCCACCCCAGATAAAATCTTAAATTTGATGGCGTCGACCTCTTCGGGCCGCCAAATACGATAAAGTGGTTTATAAAAACGGTCAGACAGAGTCTCAAACCTTAAAATATCTCTTACCACCACACGGGACGAGAGATTTGTAGAAATCAAAGTTATTAATCTGTTTTCAAAACAGATTTCTTCTGTTAAATATTCTGTTTCCAGCTTCATGTTTTTCAACTGTTGGTCAAACTAAATGTTGATTTGAAGACGTCACAAAAAGAAACTAGTTGATTATAAAACTTAGTCTTTGACCCCTCAAAAAAAAAAAAAAAACCCCAAACAAACCATCACTGATCTGACTTTGTCATTTTGATGCTTCTTTTCACTACAGAGACAAGTTAATCTCAGACCCCTCGTTCCTGGTATGCGTTAACATGAAGCTACAGCTGGTTAGCGTAGCTTAGCATAGAGACTGGGAACAGGGGGAAACCGCTAGCCTGGCTCCGCCCACAGGTAACAGACGCCACCTCCTGTTAGTAAAGAGAATAAAACCCAAACTGCAGAATTTAAACTTTAAAGTGTAGCGACAAACAGAATCTTTTATAAGGAGCACATCAGACTTTATTACAAACCAAACTGTACAGATTACACAGAAAATAACCTAAAACCACCAGCTGATATAAAAACCTACTAATATAGTAAATTTATATAAAAAAGAAAACTTTATAAAGTTAATAACATAAAACGAAGGGTTCTGGTCCAAACGTCACCGGGTCATCTGTTGCCTGCTGGGTTCAAGTTCCATATTTCCCCTCAGCAGATATTCAGATAATAAGACGGGTCTGTGGCGCCGCCGCCTTTACTGTCGCTGCTCTGATTGGCTGAAAAGCTCAGATATATTTCAGCCAGCATCAAGTTCATGTGTCTCTGCATCAGAGCGGCGTCGGAGTGTGGAGTGTGTGAGACCGGGTCAGTCCACCCGGTCCTCAGAAGTCTGCGTCCAGCCTGAAGGTGTTGTCCGTGGCGCCGGACATCACGCCCATCCTCTGGTACTCGCCCACGCGCTTCTCAAAGAAGTTGGTCTTTCCCTCCAGAGAGATGTTCTCCATGAAGTCGAAGGGGTTCTCCACCCGGTAGAGCTGCAGAGACACGGTCAGATTTTAAACCCTCTGAGATTAAAATAACCTGAACAGCAGGAGACGTCTGAAGATCCTGACCCGGGTCTAAACCTGTCATGGCGTTAAGGGGGGGGGGGGGGGGTCACATGTGTAACGTTTAAACTCCTGTAACAAACTGACGGACTACATCTGAGGTCTGTTCAGTCGGGCGTCTGTCTCGTGCTGCTGCTCGTCTGTCGGTGAACCACTCGTCCTCCAATCAGAGCGTCTGCAGCAGCACTCAGCCCCCATGATTGGCTGAGGTCCGTACCCCTGCGCTTCTCATCATTACAGACCTCCTGCTCCTCTACAGGGGAACAGCGCCGCCTCGTCGAGCCGGCAGTCTTTTTCAGAAACGCTCATAATTCTGTTTCTCATAAACGCACCACAGATCTCAAATGAAACTTCGATGCGGAAGAATAAACGTCCATAATAAAAATACTTTAAGGCCACCAAAAGTGCTAAAATTACTGGGGGACCTGGTGCGCAGGTGGTCCTACTGGGTCCTGGTCTTACCTTTGAGAAGCCGAGCTCCAGCATCAGCCTGTCAGCTACAAACTCGATGTACTGCTTCATCAGCTCACAGTTCATCCCGATCAGCTTCACCGGCAGAGCCTCGGTCAGGAACTCCTGAACACAACACAAACCGTTAAGACCAGCAGAGACCAGACCAGGTTCAGGAGCTCCACATCGGCACGTCTGACCCACCTGCTCGATCTCCACGGCGTTCCTGATGATGCTGCTGACGGTCTCTGACGACGGCTTGTTCACCAGGTGTTTGAACATCAGACAGGCGAAGTCACAGTGCAGACCCTGAACGCAACACAGAGCGTTACTACAGAGAGATGAGACCCTGAACACAACACAGAGACGAGACCCTGAACGCACCACCCACCTCGTCTCTGCTGATGAGCTCGTTGGAGAAGGTCAGGCCGGGCATCAGGCCTCTCTTCTTCAGCCAGAAGATGGCGGCAAAGGAACCAGAGAAGAAGATTCCCTCCACGGCGGCGAAGGCCACCACGCGCTCTCCTGGAGGAACCAGAGTCACGATCAATACCAGAAGATGAATATCAACGTGCGATCAGAGTGTAATGTGAACGCCACGCGGCGTCTCGGGCAGCGGGCTTACCGTAGTTGGCGTTCTTGTTGCCGATCCAGTTGATCGCCCAGTCGGCCTTCTTCTTCACGCACGGCAGAGTCTCGATGGCGTTGAACAGGTATTCTCTGTGGGTCATTGAACGCAGCGTGAGACAGGACAAAGCAGGGCGCGGTGTATCGTTAAATATTAAGTTCTTACTCCTCCTGAGACTTTGACAGATTGTTGCCAGGGTTTCACATCCTGACACCAGACGGCGGCCTCTCACCTCTCTGTGGGCTCCTTGATGTAGGTATTGATCAGGAGGCTGTACATCTCTGAGTGGATGTTCTCCATGGCGATCTGGAAACCGTAGAAACACCTGGCCTCCGTCACCTGCACTTCCTGTGTGAAGCGCTCCACCTGGTGGTCACACGGAGAACCAATGAGACAACAGACCAAAGAAATAAACCATAGATCATCTTCAGATCTGACATGATGGAAACTGAAGTCATTAAACTTCATGTGATCAATCGAGGAACTGATTATTAAAAGCAACCAGCTTCAAATCATTTAACACCTAAACATTTAAAGATCTGCACTTTGATGAAGCGTCAGAAGTTAATCATCTAAAATCAGTACGTCTACTGCGATTATTCCACCAGCTGACGATGATGTCATCATTAAACTAAATAGGTAATCAATATGTGGGCGGGGCTCACCAGGTTCTCGTTGACGATGCCGTCGCTGGCGGCGAAGAACGCCAACACGTGCGAGATGAAGTAGCGCTCCTCGTCCTTCAGAGACTCCCAGTGCTGCATGTCCTTGGACAGATCCACCTGAACACACACACGTGACATCATCAACACCTGCACCCAATCAGGTGATCATCTGAAGCTCTGGCTCGCGGCTTCTCGTACCTCCTCTGCGGTCCAGAAAGAGGCCTCGGCCTTCTTGTACATCTGCCAGATGTCGTGGTACTGGATGGGGAAGATGACGAAGCGGCGAGGGTTCTCCTTCAGCAGAGGCTCCTCCTCCTCGCCACTGCTCTTCATGGCTTTGGGCTGAAAAAACAAACAAAAAAAAAACACAAGAGTGTCACCCACAAACCGTCTGAGGAGCTCAAACTCACGAGAAACACTTCAAACCGTCAGTCAGCTCCTGTTTAAAGATCAAACCTCACCTGCAGCTCATCAATTTAAGTGATCAATACTTCATACAGGCAACTTTAAGCTGCAATAATTAATTAGTTGGCAACTGTTAAATAAATCTGATAAATCAGTTCAAGTCATATCAGCCTGTTAAACCTGAAGGTTTGTTTCTTTACTCCTGAGAAGATAAACTGAACATATTTGAACAAGATGTTTGAATCTTCGAGCTCTGAGACATTTTATTAACCAAACTACTAATCAATGAATTGAGAAAACAGATTAATGGGCAATTAAAAAATGTGATTAGTTTCAGCCTATTAAAAAAAAAATTATATATCAGATGAATACATTTCCTGCAGCTTGTGTTTAAAGATAAAAGCCGATCTGTTTCCCGTTAATCAGCTAATAATCCTGATCACTTCCTGTTTATAAAAGGTTACAAAGCTGTAAATTTGGCTGCAGATCATTAAAAACACAATATTGTGTCTGTAATTCATCAATATTTAGTCAATAAGCAGAAACAGGAGTCCGTCAGATGACTCCTGATGAACAGCTGATCGTCCGTGTTGGCGCCAGAACCGGCACTTTAGGCGCCACGCGAGCACAATGCAAACTGATCGATACCTTTAACGTGACCTGCTGATCACGTGTCCCGTTAAAATGATCGGGTCACTCACCGCAGGGTCGGCGAAGATCTTCCGCGCGGTTTTAGACGCCAGGATCCGGGTCGTGTTCAGACTCGGCGGCTGGAAGATAAAACACCAGGATCAATACGGCTGATTGGATCAAACCGGCAGCTGAAATACTGATTAAACACGAGGCGAGCAGGAAAGAAAAGCTGCCGGGGAGGATTAAACACCGAGTTTTAACTTTAAAAACACTACAGAGAGTTAAAATGGGGTTTTTATTTGAAATAAACTTTAGTTTCTTCTCACCGTGTTTTCTTTGTCCAGCGATATCTTGCTGATCTGGCTGCTGACTGTGTTCTCGTTGTGGACAGACAGGGGAGCGCGAGCAGAAAGCATTTTCAGTTTCCTTTAGTTCAGACTGACAGAAAGATAAATATAAAAAGATAAGTTAAATGTTTAAAAAGAGACAAAGACTCTAGACCAGCAGCGACACGGACGAGGAGCGGAGAGACAGTGAAGCGGCTTCTGCTGTGCGCTCCAGCCCTTTTTATATGGAATCTTCCCGCTAGAACGCCGCCGGCCAATAGGAACGCGGCTCGCGACGGCTCTTTAAACTCACGGGGCGACGGAGCCAATCAGGCGCAGAGCGGCGTTCACGTGCCTCCTGAAAAGCTGCGGGAAATTCAAACGTCTTTGTTTGAGCAGAGTTACAAAACAGCCCGAAACCGCCGTTACAAAACCATTAAATATAAAGTGTTTACGCAACATTTCACGAGTTTAACGCGAAACACACGTTTGTTTCACATTAAAAAAAAGATAAACTGTGGTATTAAAACAGCCTTAAAACGTTAAACGTGATGTTACGAATCGCTAAAAGTTAATTAGCTTCCGTAATGTGATTATTAGCCGGTTAACGCGCGGTAACTTGTTTAATTTACATTTAAATGGCTCCAGAGTTTCAACACTGTTAAATAAACACAAGTGCAACTTAAGTAATAATTCAGTTTTACACATCCTGTTATTATTTCCACTCAAACTGGACTGAATGTGTTTGTAAACCGAGTGAAGTGCAAACATCTTTGTGTCTCTCTTCAGTCTTACTTTAGTATTTTAACGTGTCTGACATTAATCTGCTTTTGTTTTACTTTATATTCTGTGTACAGTGTGTTTATAAAAGTGTCTTTATAAACGTGTGATTGTGTTTTTTGTGGCATTTGTTTGTTTCCCGCCGCCGCGCTTTTCCTTGTTTACATGAATATAAAGGCGTTGTCAACCACATTTAGCGCCAAAAATATACTTTTACACATCGCGTTTTATTAAAACTTTACACTTAGATCCGTGTTGAGCATCGCCGGGTGGGAAAACTTTAACTAACTTTGGTGGTTTTAGCCCAAAAAAGGGGCAAAGGGTGGAACAACAGGGGAACAATAACCCGCCACTGCGACACAACAAACACCGACTTAAAGACGGAACTATCGCGTGTTTCTGCTCCTGGTTAACGGAACGCGTCGCTCCTCACGTTTATTCAGCTTTCAGGCTTTGAACCAAAATGTTTAAGCTTCATTTTCCCTCTGAAATCAGACGTTTTTATAAAAATATTTCCCTCCGAAGGCGAAGCTCACGTAACAGCTGTTTCCGGTTTGCCGGGTTGGGCCCGCTCGAGCGCTCTGATTGGCTGCTCGAGAGGTCAACGACAGAGCCCGTAAATCTACGTCACAGCGGGAGACGCCACCCAGCGGCCGGGATGACCTCATTCTTTTTCATTGTATTTAGTTTTAATCTCTTTATATGTTTAATTATTTATCTCTGCGTGTGTTTATTTATTTATACTTGTGTTATTTTTTGTCTTTTATAATTATAATGGTCAAACAATAATAAACCTAATCTTAATGTTTTACATATAATTTATTCATTTTGCCTTTATAAATAAATGATAAACTTACATAAGAAAAAATAAATAATTGAATAAATGAATGTAAACATACAGAAATATTTTTTTCATTACCAAAATCAAATTTATTTTTTATTTATTTATATATTTCATTATTCATTGCTGCATTTATTTTTTTAGTTATACATGTGTCATTTTTTTGTCCTTAAGTATCAGACAAAGAAACTAACTGGCATTTTAAGGATTTTTCCTTTAATGTATATATGAAGGAAACAAAACTGACTAAATAAATAAATTTAGAACTAGTTTTGTCATTTATTATTTATAAGAGACAAACAATAAGAAAAAACATTCAAATAAAGAGAAAGTGAAGTCTGATAACCTAGTGAAAGATTTTTCCTTTAAGCTTATTCATAGTTTTTACCCAGAAAAGATGTTTTTCAAAACATCACACGGGACATTTTGTTGTAGTTGTCCTGAAACACACGTGACATCTGGGGGAGTTTTGGCCACATTCAACCTGATTTATTCTTTTAACTACAAACAAAAAGACTCTTTCTTTTTTAAAAGTGTGTTTTATTGAAATCCACAGTTGGTAATGTAAACAGCGGGAGGAGAAATTCTTGGCACAAAACCACAATCTGTGCATAATGTTTCTGTCATTGAACTGAATGAAAAATGGCACACAGAGACTGGAAGTTATCAATCATCCAATCGGCAGGTCAAATCTGATTGGATGATAAATGTCTGTTACTAAGATACATCGTCACCAGAGTAAAGACAACATGAGTCAACATCAGAGTTCATATCTGCGGCCTTCAGCTGCACCACGACGCTGCAGATTTATTTAACAAAGTTCACCTGCACGGAGTCAAAAACCTGCATGTCAGAAATGATTCCAGTTAATCTGAGCGTCATGCATCTCTGCCGGGTGGACACAGATCTCACATTGAATACGTCAAATAAAAAATAAGGCATTACTTGTTTTTAAATAAGTCTCACATCGCTGACAGCGTTTCTGCAGGTTCAATAAAATTTAAGACTTTTTAATATCACACAGGATGCAAGTCACGGCTGTTCTGAAAGTTTCGACGTTGTGGTGAAAAACATTCTGTTCAGAAGCAACAGTCTTCAGAGCGAGTGAAGCAACACGTTGGTGGTTTAGATTAAATGTTAATAAACATGTCGCGCTTCACGTCACTGCAGACGTGCAGTTTGAAGCAGCATCCGTTCAAAACATAGTCGGACTTGCCACCAGCAAGATTGCCCAGCAACATTACTCAAAAAGTTTCCCCGTGTATCATCAGCTTCACACTCTGATAGACTTTCGATCAATAGCGTCCTCCGGTTTGGACTCCCAGCCATGGATGTGTTACTAGACCTAAAGGTGATTTAATCGTGCAGCTTATCAAGACTTTCAAAATGTTTTCGGTTTTTGGATCAAATTCTGACAGTGAAACGAGTCTCCGGGGTCAAAATGATCCCCTGTTTTACAGCCTCTTCTTCTCACAGTGTTAAGTCTGTGGGATAATTTATTTTATGGGGTAAGTGTGCATCATGTGACCAGGAAGCTGTAATTACACCGTCTGGCCGCTGTGTCAGATTGGCTTCAAAGCAGAGACACTTCCTGGAGGGTTGGCTCACGGCAAACAGGTTTCTAGCTTCCCTGGTTTCCTTCTGGGGTTCGTGGCCCACTGAATGTGAACGGTTGTGTTTCTCAGCTCGAGGAACCTCCGTGGATCAAAACCTCATAATAGACAGAGTCATTGTTGAGCCTGTTTGCAGTTCAAAATGTCCTGTCAGCAGCTTCACTTTCTTTTACACGTGCATCTAAAAAAATCTGAACATGCTGAGCAGCAGAATCAGACTGAGAGGGTAAAGTTTCAGGTCGACCTTTCTGCATTATAAACTCTTTATTCTAAATTTCTAAAACATTTTGAGATCCTGGAGTTTTGATTTCCACGAGCCGTAATCATCAAGATTAAAACAAAAAAACTTACGTGTAATGGATCTAAAATACACGAATGTTTCAGTTTTTGACTTTAATTATGGAAGAAAATAAACTTTTCCACGATATTCAAATTTTTTTTAGGTGCATCTGTTTAATGGGGGACAAGCTTTTTGGGCTGCAAAGTTTGAGGCAAGCCGCCGTGTCCAGGTCTTATTATCCATCCGTCCACTCAGAGGTCAGCTCTGTCGGGACGGACAGGAAGCAGAACTGACTGCGAAAACTTTACTTGAAGTGAAAGTTTGGGAATCGTCTGGCTGAACGCTGCTCACGAACCGATGAACTCTGCAGGTGTTTTTGTTTGTGTCCCCAGAATCAAATGAAAAACCTGAAGATTCCCGCCGGGTCAGTCTGAAAAACAGTCGATTCTCTTTGTTTCACGTAAACAATCAGAAACTTCACAAGTTGCTTCAATCAAACGAGAGAAAAAAAAAAAAAAGGTCCACTGGACTTTGGTCCCGGTCCGCCTGTGGCTGAAGGTTGACATCCGTTTGGCAGCAGAGTAGCTTATTCTGGGTAAAGTGTTTATTGTTTTTAGCTGGAAACAGACTTCATGAGGAGCAGGAGGAGGAGGAGCAGGAGGAGGATCCTGCAGAGTCAAAACAGACGGTTAAAAAACAGATTATCCAAAGTTTTTGCGTCTGAAAACAAGAATTAAAATCAAACCCCTGATTCTGTGAGAGCGTGAACTTAAGGGTCTTCGTTGTTTGTCTCTCAGTTATATTTCTGTTTCATCTGTGAGTCCACTGATTCACGTTTTATTTACAGTGACTGTTTCATGTTCCTGCTGGATTTGTGTGGATAAACAGTGTAACTGTATTTTGTATAACTGGTTCTATAAGATATATAATAAAAAAACATTTGAGTGAAATATTACTAAAGATTTGTACATTTTCAAAGTGACGTTTTCTTTGTATTTGGGATCCTGGCAGCTTTATGCTTTATACAAAATTGACTAAATGAGCTGAGTTTATGCTGAATAAAAGTTTAAAAGCTGCTAAAGAAAGAGAAAAGTGAACGCGTAGAAAATCAAACCAAACTGAATGTTTGTCATAAAGAGAGAAGTCGCCTGAGTTTGGAGGTTCTGCTTCTTTACCTGCTCCTGTTTCTACTTTCCTCGTCTACATGTCAGAGTAAATATCTTTTTTACAACAACATATTCGCCCTGTGTGACTGGTAGTAAAAAGGAGGGAATCGCCCATTTGATGCACCTTAAAGGAGACCTACTAAACTGCTTTTCCAGACCTATATTGTAGTTCTGTGGCTCCTGTACGGCAGCTTTGCATGATTCAAAGTTCAAAAAAATATTTTATTTTCTTATACTGACTCTTCACTTAGGCCTTCAATTCAGCCTCTGTCAGAAACAAGCTGTAGATGCTCCTGTCTCTTTAAGGCCCCCCCTCTCAAAGCCCACTGTCTTCTGATTGGCCAAGACCTGAAGCATGTTACCAGGCTGTTGTTGTTGCTGGGCAGAACAGGCAGACTGAGCGTTGCTGGGCCGTTTCTACGGGAGCCCATATTTGGAACAGCGGCTCCGTCTGGCTCCGTATTACATAGAACGGAGCCGTTGGTAGAATAAGTAGTTTAAAACAGAGTGAACAGGAGGAAATCTGAGGTTTTTGCTCACAGGGATTTCTTTTAAATACTTTAACCTCATTATTTGCAGCTTTGGCCGTGTTTAACATGAACATCTGACATTATAATATTGTAGAAAAGTCATAAAATGTGGAAAAGCAAGTGGCATGTGGAAACAACTCGACTGTTTTGAGATTTCAGAGCGAGAAAAACAAAGGGCGTCACCGGGAGTGTTGAGCTGAAGCGTCTACGGCACAGATCCCAAAACGTTTTGTCATTTCTACACCAAAATATGTGAAAAATCGAATAAATATAATCACAGACTTTATCCTTTGAGTTTGTTTCTGTTTTTTATTAACAGACTTTTACACACGTTTAAATGTTTCTTCAGATTTCTGCTGTTTTTTACTCACATATTTAAAAAGCTGATAAAATCAGATGAACAGAAACTCACCTCGTGAAGTCTGAAGCGGCTCGGCTCAGACGGAGCTGAGTTTAACGAGCCCTCTGACGGAGTCCTCGTGCAGGGCGTCCTGACTGGATGGGTCGTACAGGGCGGAGGGGGCGGGGACAGGCGGGTGGGGGTGTAAGTTCAGGTGGGCGGGGCAGGGCAGGGCGCCCTGCGGCGTAGTACACGGCGTCTCCTCCGGGCTGACGAAGTGGTGGTGGTGGTGGTGATGGTGGTGATGGTGGAGGTGATGGTGGCAGCGGGAGTCGGCGGCGGCGTCCCTCAGGGTGAGGACGTCTCCCCCGCAGGACGGCAGGGAGGGCTGGGAGGGGGCCAGGTAGGCGCAGGGGCGCCCCAGCGTGGCGGTCTTCCCTGGCAGAGGCGCCAGCACCACGGGGTCGCTGTGGATCAGAGGGGTGGTGGCGGCCTGGAGGACAAACTTGGTGCTCTGGATGCACTGATCCTGATCACACTGAGGACAAGAAAAGGACGCCGTGTTAGCTAGTTTAAAGCCGGGTCACACGGCTAGCTGTGTGGCTGGAGAGCTAACCGCTAACATGCTAGCAGTATCAGTCACAACATGTGTCTGAGCTGCTTTCTGTTTACTTCCTCCGACATTCTCAGGATTGTTCATCTTTATAGCAGCAACAGCAACAGGATGCTAAGTTAAATCTGAAACAAGCAGGAACCTCCAGGTCTGAAAGAGCCTTAAACCTGCGTCCTCTCTAGCAGCCAGCAGGGGGCGACTCCAGCGGCTGCAGAAAGAAGTGTGATTGTATAGAAGTCTCTGAGAAAATGTTTCTACTTGTCAGCTGATTTATTCCCTCAGTAAACACAGTTTCAAGTCTTCTTCAACACAGCATGATGTTCACTTAGTAAACTATGGTCCCATTTAGAGGAACAGAGACCAGGAAGCAGGGGAGGCTTTAGGGCGGGGCTACAAGGTGACTGACAAGTTGCTACCATGGCAACCTGTCAATCAGGATAGAGGTGACTCGTATCCGCTGCTCTGTGAACATTTAACGGGCGCTGCGATAAAATCTTATCAGGAGTCGGCTGTTAAATTTTTTATGCCTGTTTGTCACTAGCTAAAATTAGCATCCCAGCTAATATCACAGCTAACGTCAATTACAGATGCACCTTGCTAACCAAGCTAGCTAGCTAAACAGTCTCGTCCAAATATGGTCACGTCTGCCTCCAAAAAAACAAGATGGCGACGGACAAATTTCCGTCGACGGTGACACTCAGCTAATACGACAACTTTCTGTGTCTTGTTGACCTTGATGTGAAAGATTGATCTGTGAAATGTCGCTGTTCTAAATGGTGGCGTGAACGAGTCCATCAGCTGCCTTCATGTGAATATACTCAGGAGGACGCAACACAGTGACATCACTATCGTCTGGCACCGTTATGGTTACCCCTCCGCTCTGTCTTTCAAAGTTAGAAAACCTCACTGACATTTTTAACAAAACTAACTAAACATCCTGCCTGACTCAACACTGCACGTCCAAAAGTATGTGGACGCTCGCTATACTGTGTATTATAAGGTATAAGCGAGGACAGACAGACGTTTGTTCCTGCAGTACATATTCATGTATTTACAGTTTGTTTATGATTATTTATGGTTCACAGCCGGCAGCCTGAGCCGACCGCGCCCTGCAGAGGAACACAGATCACACAGACTACACGTCGATGTGATGTGGCAGCTCCTCTTCAGTCGGGCCGGAGGGATTTATGGAAGTTTTATGTGATCTCCACCCACCATGCGACTGTGGAGCTGGGTGGAGGCGTAGCCGGCGCCGCTGGTCCCGTTGGACTGGGAGACGGTCTGTGGCGTGTCAGACTGGATCAGCCCTCTCCTGTCAATCAAACTGGGACACAGAGATAAAGCAGTCAGAGACTAAACTCAAGCTTTATACGATGCAGCAAAGACGAGTAACTTAAACACTCTCGCTGACGTTACTTAGTTCTGTGTTTAAAGGATGAGGATTTTCTTTTCCAGAAGAACCAGGACCGTCTGAAACATGTTATTAACATCCTGGGCTTAAACTTGGTTCAGTCACTGAACTCGCCCGGGCTTTCTTCAGGACAGAACTTTAATTCCTTCCACACAAAACTCAAGCTTGTTTCTGTAAAATTACCTGAACGTTTAAACTGTGGAGATCAAACGATGTGAAGCATCTCCATGTTGATCAAAGTTTAAACATTTATATTTGTGTGTGCGATCCAAGCAGCTTAGAAGGAGCTCAAGAGGCGACCCGGCGGGCTTTAAGAGGTTTTATAGATCCAGACCAGGCCAGTAAGAGAGACAGGCGTCTGATTGGCTCGAGGCTTTTAGTGGAACTTTTATGGTAGCTGCAGTCGGGATTTATAATGGAAAATAAAACACATGTAGAATTTAGGTTCGCCTCGAAATGAATGCTTTCTCAATGCCTTTTCTTCAGAACCGTGAAGGAGTCCAATCAGTACAACGGCGTATTAGAGCCACTGTAGCTAAAAAACTAAAATAATTTCAGAGCCGGGGGAAATTTACAAGAAAGGAACTTGGAAAATTCCTCGGTTTGTGGTGAAACTCACATAAACAACAGACGTTGTATTATTGGTTATTTAATTGTAAACTCGAGTGTATTTTCTTTATATATATATGGGTTGTTTGATAGTTGTGTTAGATAAAGAGAGATCTTTATTTTTAACCTTTAAACAGCTCAGTAAAGCATCAGCGCGTTATCCAATCAGCTCGTGAACAAGCCTCACAGTGGCCGTGTTGCTGCTCTGTGTGTGCAGGTGGATCTCACCACCTGTCGTCTCCGTCAGCAGCTAACGCCAACACACTCACAGTAACCAGCTGCTGGCGCTCTAACCAGCACACTGCGTAACGACTCTGTGTCCAGATGTTCAGTCCTGAAAAAAAGCTCCCTCTGCTGGCTCTTATTTTGAAAATCCTGCAGCTCACTCTCTGTCCTCCATCATCACTGCAGGGCGTCAGGCTGTCAGCCTCCATCCATCCATCAATAATGATAGAAGCTTTTTGTTCTGGTCACAGCTGGCTGAAAGAATCTGTGACCTCAGGAGCACACAGGGTGGACAAAATAATGTGAACACAGGGCTGGACGCTGTAGGTAAATATGACAACATTAATAATGGGAGTATTATTAGAGCTGTGGACGAGTGGAGGCTGTTAAAGCAGCACATTAATATTCTGCTGTCCAAATACTTTAAAATGAAGGAAATAAAAAACTAATCCTGCAAATCTAATTTTATTCTGTTTAACTTTGATCACATTAAGGGCTGATGAGAGCAGCAGGAGGCAGAGGAGGAGCAGGAGGAGGAGGAAGAGGAGCAGGAGGAGCAGGAGGAGGAAGAGAAGGAGGCAGACGTTCTTCGCTGTGTAGAAACTGCAGCGATCGATTCTCTGAATTTGTGTTTTGATTAATTTTGCAGTTCGGCTTATCAGCAGAGGGAGAACAGCGATGTCGGAGGAGAAGTGGAGCAGGAGGAGCAGGAGGATGAAGAGGAGGAGGAGGAAGAGGAGGAGGAGCAGAAGGAGGACGATGAGGAAGTGGAGCAGGAGCAGGAGGAGCAAGAGGAGGAAGAAGAGGAGGAAGAGGAGGAGGAGGAAAAGGAGCAAGAGCAGGAGGAAGAGAAGGAGGAGGATGAGGAGCAGAAGGAGGAGGATGAGGAAGTGGAGCAGGAGGAGCAAGAGGAGGAGGAGGAAGAGCAGGAGGAAGAGGAGCAGGAGGAAGAAGAGGAGGAGGAAGAGCAGGAGGAGGAAGAGCAGGAGGAAGAGGAGCAGGAGGAAGAGAAGGAGGAGGATGAGGAGCAGAAGGAGGAGGATGAGGAAGTGGAGCAGGAGGAGCAAGAGGAGGAGGAGGAAGAGCAGGAGGAAGAGGAGCAGGAGGAAGAAGAGGAGGAGGAAGAGCAGGAGGAGGAAGAGCAGGAGGAGGAAGAGCAGGAGGAAGAGGAGCAGGAGGAAGAAGAGGAGGAGGAAGAGCAGGAGGAAGAGGAGCAGGAGGAAGAAGAGGAGGAGGAAGAGGAGGAGGAGGAAGAGGAGCCGAAGGAGGAGGATGAGGAAGAGGAGCAGGAGGAAGAGGAGCAGGAGGAAGAGGAGGAGGAAGAGGAGCAGGAGGAAGAAGAGGAGGAGGAAGAGGAGCAGAAGGAGGAGGATGAGGAAGAGGAGCAGGAGGAAGAGGAGGAAGAGGAGGAGGAGGAAGAGGAGCAGCAATAAAGGGGGCACCGTCTTACTACCTAGCTAGCTAGCATGGCCTGTTCACATTACACCGTCACATCCTTTGGCGTCTGGTACCGACGCACATTTACCTTTAGCGTACTAGTCCAAAGTTAAAAGTACAGTAGAAATAACAGGAGGTTCTGCCGTAGATTCAACACAGAAACATAAATCAGGCTTAAGGAGGTGATTTGGTGGAAGAGTGGATCAGAAACCAGACTTTGACCCAGGACACCGGTTTCGTGTTTGAAACAAAGAGTCAACCTTGATTGTTTTAGTGAAGTCACGTGGTTACTTTAACCCAAACATCGATCTTTTCCTAACCCTAACTGCAACGTTAACCACTAGTTTTATTTTGAAAGTCTAAGCAGACATATTTATCCTTGCTAACTTGACCACGGAGCCCTACACGTGACACCAAAGGTTACCCACAAAGCAAACCCAAGGGGTGTTGACCAAAGCGTCCATATGTGAGGAGTTGGGAAGAGACGGGTTCACATCCATGGAGAATGTGAATGTAGAGGTTTTAAGAGTACTTAGAGAAGCAGCAACTGATAATTCAACACGTCTCTTCGATGGACCTGAAGAACGTTAAGAACCTCAGACCCTGAACATCAGACAGTCGGATGTTTCGGCGATGGTTCAGGACCTTACTGACCTGGGAGGAAGAGGTCCACACAGGGCAGCGCAGCAGTTGGTCAGGATGTTTCCGTAGCTGTAGGGGTTGAAGTTATCCTTCCCTCGCTTGGTGGACCAGGACCCTTTAATCTGGACCGGGACCAGATCAACAGAAACGAGCAGAGGAGTGTTGGTTCAGCTCAACAGAGCCGATACAAATCAAGACCAGATGAAACCTGTCATAGTTACACTTTATTTTTCTAGTGTAGGGTATAACAGAAACTGTCCAGGTCCCCCAGGAGCCCCCTCGGGGACGTCCTGGTGGTCCTCAGGCCACAGGTTTTGAGGCTTTGTACTCACGTCCTCGTTGGTGGTCTGGTTGGAGCTGATCAGGTAGGTGTGGAACCCAGAGAGACCGACGATCGACCAGACAGAGAAGAAACACACCACCACCTCCAGGACGGTGAACAGAGTCAAGGACAAACTCAGACCCAGGTCATCGTCACTTTACACCAGCGCTTTGATGCACTTTTGTTCTTAATTTGGACCGAGATCCGTGGATGTGCTGCAGATCTGACCTGTTAAACAACACTGTGTTACACTTTAAATATGTGCTAATATCGCTTGACGTTATGTTCCACGAATCTGTCTACGTAAATAATTCAAGACCTCAATTTTACGAATTTGAAAGCAGTTTATTAATCTGTCCACGACACCTACCGTCGAACGTTGCCACCTCCTTGTTGTTTCCAAAAAAGGTTCAAATCAAGAGCATCTGGACTGGTGGCCCCGATCTAACCCTTCAGTTCTGAACTGAAGAAGCATCTTGGAAGAAGGACGAAACATCTTCAGGTCTCTGAAACCAAGTCCAGCTGCCCTTGATTTGAACCTTCCTTGGATAACTCTGACCTGAGAACCTTCACAGACAAACTCCTTGTGTCAGTTTGTTCAAGAGAATTTCAGACATTTTAATATATTTTATTATGTGCACACTGAATTTATCTCACTCCAGCAGTGAAACTCGAATCCTTAGAGTTCTAAGAGCGTCAAATACCGACGCTTCACGCACATGGCCCCCTTTAGCGCCATTGTTCAACGCTAAAAGTTACTATAAATACCAGAAAGGTCAGAGTAGGGACGTGGTTTGGGTGGACGGGTGGTACAAAAACTGGCCTGTCACCCAGGAGACAGGCGTTTGTTTCCCGTGTGAAACAAAAAGACAACATTGATTCCTTTCAGTTCTGTTTCCTAATTTACATAACTTAAAGTAAAGACTTACTTAGAGTTAAGAGTTACTTAACTAATGTATTTTAAGCAACGTTGTTATTCTAACCCAAACCACAAACTTTTCCTAAACCTGACCAAACTGCGACGTTTTAGAACGTTAGCCACTAACTTTATAACAGGACATTATAATTGCTAACTTGACCACGGAGCCGTACATGTGCAAAAACTAAAGGGTAGCTACGGCGTTAAAAAGCAACGTCAAACAGTCCATATGTGACGCCCTGCGACGAGAACAGGTTGCACACTTGCGGGATCATTTCTGCTTTTGAACAAGAAGGTGATGTTTCTGGAGGCTTCAGTTCTCAGTGACGTTCTCAAACCCACAACACCAGAATGCACTAAACTATTAATTTTGAATGATGCTTCGTCTCCAGATTCCACAACCTGGAGGAGAAACAGAACTCTTGGGACTTGAGTCTATTATACATTTGTTTTTTAACTTTAATCTGCACATACAAATCTTTTACTTTAATGTGGGTATCACGACATACACCAGGAGCTCTGACGGACATTTAGAGAACGGGGACTGCAGTCGACAGCTCGTAGCTAAAGTGGACCTCGGGGCCCCAGACCGGGGCAGTATGTGACCTTGGCAATGCATTATGGGACGTATTGACCCATGTTTGGTGACTGTGTCATTGATTTATCAGAAACAAACACGTGATATCAACCTACAGAGAGAGCGTATGAGGGGTGATTAGTGCCTCCTGATTTTCTGTGTGAGCACGTACGGCCCGGTGTTGAGAACGTTACAGACAAACAGCATGACAAGATAAAACCAGAAACAACAGGCTCATGTAAACATGAGTCTGGAATATTTACATGAGTGGATTTAGCTGATGAAAGCACTAAAGGAAGCTTTAAACAGTCAAAAGGATATCTGGCCGGGCTGTCTTTGAGCGCGCTCAGGAATCCTGTCCGGTTTGATCCTGCAGAGACGAGAGAGAGAGAGTGTTCAGGTTATTCAGTTTTAATGTGTTAGAACAAAAACACAAAACATCTCTGAGGCTGAGAGAAACTGGAGAACCCAAAAACTTAAAGATGACGTCAGACCTTGACTTTACTGAGCTTTATGCAGTGTTGGACATGTTACTCAGGGACAGGAATAAGTTACTTTTTACTAATTACTCCTTTAAAAAGCAATAATATTACTTCAGTTATTACTGGGTATTAAAAGTAATTCATTGCGTTAATGTATTTCTTTCACTACCACCTCGCCTCTTCCTTAAAAGTGCCTGTTCAGCAGCTTGTTTTAGAAATGAATCCACTTTACTGGAACAATAATTAACCTGAGGAGTAAAACAACCAGCTGAACTGAAACACTGCAGCGTCTCAGACCAGAGGATGCTGTACAGGACAGACTCCGCATATATAGGATCTAACTAAATAAAAAACAAAGCAAGTCTCTCCCGACTTTTATTCATAACAGCAAGTATGTTTTTACTAAACAGATAACGTCACTGGTTGAAATAAACATTAAAGCAAGTCTCTCTGAACTCCTGTTTTTCTGCACATTTATTTATCTGAGCAGAGTTCAGTGGGGTCTTAAACAGCCTCTTTAACAGCCAGCAGGGGGCGACTTCACTGGTTGTATAGAAGTCTCTGAGAAAATGTTTCTACTTGTCAGCTGATTTATTCCCTCAGTAAACACTTTCCTGATGAGTTTATGGTCTCAGTCGCTAGTTTCAAGTCTTCTTCAACACAGCATGATGGTCATTTAGTAAATTATGGTCCCATTAAGGGATTTAAAATCCGCCTCCTTCCCACACAGAAACACAGTCCAAACGGAGCTTGAACCTGATTTTGTTACCCTACAGGAAAAAAACGTTGTCCTGATGGATCCTCTGAGGATCATAAACACGCCCACAGTAAATTTAAAGGTAGAACTTCCCCACAGCAGCAGCAGGAGCTCGTCAGCTCATCCCTGAGCTCTAAATTCAGACCTCTCAGATCAAAGTCTCGACGCTCTGCTGGATCTTTTTATAGCTCTGCTGCTAAAAAAAGACAACAAGCGGCGCAGTGTTGAGACGAAGACACGGGTTCCTCTCAGACGGTCTGCTGGTCCTCTGAAGCTGCTTCCTGTTCTGGCAGCACAACCAGGACCAATGACGCGTGACGGGGAAGAATCAGTAGGCAATCAGGAAATCAGTGATCGTGTTTTAAATTTTCTATACAGTTTGTTTCTGGGGAAATAATCCTTCGACACTCAGTGAACTGTAGGAAAAGGTTTGATTATGGTGTTTAAAGTCGGTTTGATCTGCAGGCCGATCGATGCGCCTCTGACAGCCTGTCAATCACAGGGCAGTGGGCGGGGCCGAGAGGGATCGATATCTCGTCCATTACACAGATGAGAAGCTGCTGCAGATCAGACCTGCTTATTAGGACCGTTTCTGTCCTTGTCTCTGAAATTATTGTGTTTCAACCCATTTCTTATTTTCCCCTCCTGAAAAGTCTGAATTTGCATTTTTGTAACGCTTCATAAATAAATAAAGTTTGTTTTTGTCAAAAGGCAACATTTTTTATAGACTGCGTGCACACTGCAGGAGATCAATGAGGAGGAGGAGGAGGAGGAGAGGATAGAGGAGCAGGAAGAGGAGGCAAAGAAGGAGAAGGATGAGGGGAAAAGAAAGAAAAAAAGGAGGAGGAGAGAGAGCAAGAGAAGGAGGATGACGAAAAGGAGGCAAAGAAGGAGGAGGAGGAAAAGAAGGAAAAGAATGAGGGGAAAAGAAGGAAAAAAAGGATGAGAAGGAGGAGAAGGATGAGGGGAAAAGAAGGAAAAGAAGGAGGAGGAGGAAAAGAAGGAGGAGAAGGAGGAGAAGGATGAGGGGAAAAGAAGGAAAAGAAGGAGGAGAAGGAGGAGAAGGATGAGGGGAAAAGAAGGAGGAGAGAGAGGAGGAGGGGGAGGAGAAGGTAGAAAATAAGGAGGAGGAGAGAGAGCAGGAGGGGGAGGAAGAGGAGAAGGTAGAAAAGAAGGAGGAGGAGAGAGAGCAGGAGAAGTAGGATGACGAGAAGGAGGCAAAGAAGGAGGAGGAGGAAAAGAAGCAGGAGAAGGATGAAAAGGATGAGGGGGAAAGAAGGAAAAAAAGGAGGATAAGGATGAGGGGAAAGAAGGAGGAGAAGGAGGAGAGGGAGGAGGAAAAGAAGGAAAAGGAGGAGGAGAAGGGGAAGGAGAGGGAGGTGGAAAAGAAGTAGGAGAAGGGGAAAAGAAGGAGGAGGAGAAAATAGAGGAGAGGGAGGAGGAAAAGAAGGAGGAGAAGGGGAAAAGAAGGAGGAGGAGAAAGTAGAGGAGAGGGAGGAGGAAAAGAAGTAGGAGGAGGGGAAAAGAAGGAGGAGGAGAGAATAGAGGAGGGGAGGAGGAAAAGAAGGAAAAGAGGGAGGAGAAGGAGAAGGAGAGGGAGGAGCAGGAGGAGGAGTTACTCACTGAGGATGACGTGTGTAATGACGAAGGCGAAGATGAAGATGGTGAGGAGGGACAGCGAGAGGATGAAGAGGTAGAAGAAGCGGTAGTTCCTCCGTCCAACGCAGTTCCCGACCCACGGACAGTGATGGTCGAAGCGCTCTAAGGAGGAGGCAGCGGTTACTACATCAGTACTCACAAGTACTCACAAGTACTCACAAGTAGCATCAGCACGAGTACTTAAACTATATAAAGTACTCATAAGTAGCATCAACATGAGTACTTAAACTATATAAAGTACTCACAAGTAGCATCAGCACGATATAAAGTACTCATAAGTAGCATCAACATGAGTACTTAAACTATATAAAGTACTTGTTCAAATGTTCTAGCCTGTTGAGGTCAGAGAACTTTTAAATAGTTCAACATTATTCGGTCAAACGTAGAGCAGTAACATTTAGGGTGGAGTGGAGTAGAAGTAGAAAGTACACAAGTACAGTACTTGAGTAAATGTAGTACTCACCAACGCAGTTGTCACACAGGCTGCAGTGAGACGCTCGCGGCGGCCTGAAGATCTTGCAGGTGAAGCAGTACTTCAGTTTGACCGTCTGCCCATTGATCAGGACCTCTCTAGTGCGCGGCGGCGGCCTGGAGCAGCCCAGCGAGTCTGGAAACACAAACATCACGCCACAAGTAATCAACAACACACTATCCAACCAATCACATTGCTCCTCTGAAATACTTTGATGCACTATATCATATATTATATTATATTAACACTTTTCAAGGTTTTATTACATGATATACTACATTATATTTCTATATTAATACAAACACTGAGAATCAGTACTTTTTCATATTATTTATATTATTCTGGTGTTTGCTGTTGACATCACACCACTGTGTCACTCTTCTTTTTATTTTATTTACCTGTAATTAATGATTATCTGGACTTATTAATGAGTTTGTGCTGCTGCAGAATTTCCCCACTGAAGATTAATAAAGGTTTATCTCGTCTCATCTTCACTTTGTGGAAATTTAGTTTTGTTTGTCAGACAGGAAGTGAGGATGTTGTTTCAAGTTTCAAGAATACATTCCTGATCACCATCAACAAACAAAAAAAACAACTGTAGACTATTTCCATCCTTCCTGCTCACACACATCCAGCTTCTCCCATATTTGGTCGTTCTCTGCGGTGATTGACAGCTCAGTCGCTCCAGCTCAGATTCTGTATCCACCGAGAAAATATATAAATAAATAAACCAAACAAATAATAAGAGGTTTCCACAAATAGATCAGAGAGCTTTGACAGTGACGTTCAGTTTCTGTGGAAACGACTGATTCGCTTAGACGCATTACTGACAGAGCGGAGGTCTGAATCTGAAGAGATGACATGTGACTGAACACACATCTAAACGCACACTCTGACTGGAGGAGGTGGTGAGAGACTTCCTTTCATGACTCAGAGTCATTGCTAAACAGATTATTCTGCAGCTTATTTACAGTTTCTTACATCTGATAAGAACAAAAACCTCCACAGATGTGGAAACTAAGAGTGAGGAGATTAAAAGTCTGATGATAAAATCAAATGAACTCTTATAAAAGTAACTGATTATATTTAACACTAACAGAAAAGTAAAGCTGAGAAAGTCCAAGTTTGACTACTTTTGAAATATCAAAATGACTCAAAAAACTAGTGTGAAGCTATTAAAACTTCCTAACTTTATATAAAGTAGGTAGGTAAAACTAGCTAACTACTTTACATACAGTTAGCTAGTTTTAACGACTTTATACACAGTTAGCTAGTTTTAACGACTTTATACACAGTTAGCTAGTTTTAACGACTTTACATACAGTTAGCTAGTTTTAACGACTTTATACACAGTTAGCTAGTTTTAACGACTTTACATACAGTTAGCTTGTTTTAACGACTTTATATACAGTTAGCTAGTTTTAACGACTTTATATACAGTTAGCTTGTTTTAACGACTTTATATACAGTTGGCTAATTTTAACGACTTTATATACAGTTAGCTTGTTTTAACTACTTTATATACAGTTGGCTTGTTTTAACTACTTTATATACAGTTGGCTAGTTTTAACTACTTTATTACTACTTTATATGATGCTGTGAGGTTTTACTAAAGTTATTTCTCTTAGCCTCAAGCTGGATTTACACTGTACCTACAGGAACTATGTGAATAAGCCCTAAGGTTAAATAGCTGTAAATTTAGGTACAGGATCTACAGATAACACGTGAAATCAACAAGAACTGTGATTGGTCAGTTTAGGCTGCTTGTGTTTTCTCCTAGTGGAGTTTCCTGAGAGTCAAGACGGTCTGTTTTCAAAAAAGGAGATAAAACCCACATAAGATGGAGAACATTTCTAATTTTAAAGCAGAGTCCAGAGTTGTTGTGTGTATTTCGGCGCTTACCTATTGACCTCTCCAGGTCGGCTGCCTCGTCCGGTGTGGCTCGGGGCAGGACACCGGGGTCGGTAAAACTTGCCCTGAACAGCATCCCCATCACAAAGATGAAGAGGACGCCGCCAACTGCCGGGATGGCCGGTGTCAGGTTGGACGCCAGGAAGGGACAGCTGAGGACACAAGGACAGAGACAAATAAAAAGAAACTATCAGCCAATCACAGTTCTCTGGTGTTTTCAGGACACAACATAACCATAAACAACAGGATGTCACCTCCGAGGCTTCAGACATTTTGTTGTCGTTCAAAGATCAACATTTTAACAGAAGAGTCTTTGTTTTTTTAAACAAATGTCCCAGTGATTTATTCAAAAGTTAAAAATATTATGTATTTTAGTTTTAGTTAAGTTTTTGGTTGTTGTTTGCATAATTACGATTTAATTTTTTTCGGCACAATTTAGACTAATGGAAATGTAAATGTTAAAGAAAAGAGGATCAAGGATCGAGCCTTAGGGAACTCCTCTGCAACTGTCTTTTGTTGCTGATTAAAACAAAATAGTTCCTGTCCTGGACAGCTGGGTTAGCAACTAATCCTTTAAATCTAAGCTCCTAAGTGTTACGAAGACTTTGTCATTGATTAAACGTCACTGTTAAAGTTTTACTCTCATGATAACACCGAGACTTCTGACTTGGTTTTTAAAGATCACTCTCAGCATTTCTTCTTTTAGGCAATTTACAATTTTTTAATTGTTTATTTTTGTATCAGTATTACAGGGAAGTTGTGAGAAGGTACATTTGGTTGTCGTCTGCATAATTATGATTTTATTGTTTGGCACAATTCAAGGATTTAGTCTTGGGGAACTCCTCACATCACGTTGGTCCATTCGAAGGCTGATTGTTAAAGTTTAACTCTGAGTCCATGATTACACCATGACTTCTGACTTGGTTCATAAAGACAGTCGAGATGAGCGCTGATTCAGTGTTCATTCTTTTAAGCCTAAGACAATGATTTTGTTTTTTAATAAAAACATTTTTTCAGAGATCTGGGGGACTGTAGTTTCATCCCGTTCTTCGTATGGCATCACATTGCTTGGTTAAGACCCTTTAGCGTTGTTTTTGCATGTGTAGGCTACTTGGTTAGGTTTAGGAAAACTTCATGGTTTGAGTTAAAATAACTGAGTTACCCAAAAACAATCACTGTTGACTTTTTGTTTCACATGGGATGCAAAGACTGGTCTCCTGGGTGAAAGTTCAGTTTCAGACCTGCTTGTCCGCCCCAACCACCTTCTTTTCTGTTATTTATAATAGGCCTACTTTTAACATTGAACAACGACGTTAAAGGCAGCCATGTGCCTTGGTACCAGACGCCAAAGGACGTGAGAAAGCGCAGCTATTTGACTCCCTTGGAATGAAAACGGGCTGGTAGATTCCTCCCAGGGTACATTTTGTTGTTGTCTGCATAATAATGCATAAAAAATGTTTGTGCAACCTAAAAAATTGGTGATGTTGTAGTGGATAAGACACATGCATTTGGTGTAGGAGATGGGGGTTCGATTCCCACTGCGACACATTCACCAGAGAGCAAGAGGGTTAGAGGCATGCGGCCTCTGACATACAGTATGTAGTTATTGTAAGTTGCTTTAGAAAAAATCATCAGTTAAGTAAAATGTTGTGTAATTTTTCATTCAAATTTGATCCACTAGTGAATTCACATTATTTTTCCACAAAACTATTTTTCTCTGCTCTTCAGCTGAGGTCAAAGGTCAGCTTCCTGTTTCTTTCACTAAAACTGGTGGAGGGATTTTATATCAAGAACCCAAAACAGAAAGCATGTGTGGTCCTGTTAGCAGTGGACAAAGTATTCAGATCCTTTACTTAAGTACCTCACTGTAAAATACTATGTTACAAGTAAAGGTACTGCTGAAACTGTTACTTAACAAAAAGTATGTAAATATAATCAGGAAAATGTACTAACAGTATTAGAAGTAAAAGTACTCACTGTCCTGTGACTGTTATACTGTTTTATATTAGATTATTATTCCTCATGCATTAATGTAAAGCAGGATTTTACTGCGGTTGAACAATTTTGTATCAGACTGCAATAAATGACTTGTGTCATTGTGTATTAATCTTCTAATCACCATTAATCAATAGTAAAAATTCTGAAAATAGTGAGATTCCCTCACAATGTTTGTTCTGTCAGTTTAAAATGATTAAAAATACATTAAAATAATCAAAAGGAAAAGCAGCAAACCTTCACATGAAATGTTTTTACATGAAAAATGATTTAAACGAAAGTAAACATTTGTTTCCAATTAAATTTCTGTCAATCAAAGAATGTAGCCGCAGTTTAATTTATAACTAAACATCATATTTTATAAACTCTTCACGTGTTTTGTGTGTAAAAATCTGACTCTGTAAAGTATCTGAAGCTGTCAGATAAATGTAGAGAAGTAAAAATATCTCCTCTGAGACGGAAAAAGTACAAATACCTCTCATTTGTACCAAACCACAGTACTTGTACCGCTGGGTCCTGTTTGTTCTGTACTTGACAACCAGACAGACTCACTCGAAGGTGAAGAAGAGGCCGCAGGTGAGCAGGATGAGGACCAGGGTCAGGTAGAAGACTCCGGTCTGTCTCGCCATCATGATCCTTCCGCCGCAGTAGAACCGGTTCCGTCCGGGGAACACCTGCCACTTCCTGCGGGGGGGTCCGGCTCCTGTGGCCCGGGCAGCACGGCTCTGGTCCCCCGGCGGGGGCCGGACACGAGCCGCTGCTGCTGCGGGTGCAGATCTGGTTGTACTGGCCCGGCTGGTCCGGAGCCGCGTGCTGGATCTGAGACATGTGTCCGCTCACAGGTGAGCAGGTACAGGTGACAGGATATATCAGAGGTGTGCGCGTGCAGCTGGTGCGTCCAGGTTCCGTCAGCCCCCCAGACGGATCCTCAGGTCCGGGTTTTCTGTCTGGAGCCAATACAAAAGGAAATCCGACATTTTAAATCCCGAACCCGGTTTTATTTTGTGATGTCTCGTAAACAAACACCAACTCGTGGTGAGACGCACGCGCGCGGGGTCCAAAATAAAATAAAAACCCCCCCTCAACACCCCCGCCTCGTGCCCATGCAGCGTCCCTCTCACAGAATGCAGCGTTTAAACCAACAGACAATGGGTCCGGGTCTGGACAGGACGTGGAGCGGGGACGCGTCCGACCGGGGTCCGGGTCTGGAGACAGCAGCGGGTCCGGAGGATCAGAGGGTCTGTGTCGGCGAGGAGGAGGAGGAGGAGGAGGAGGAGGACGTGAAGAGCATCCTGATCCTCCGCAGAGATGCTGGAGCTCCGAGTCCGAACTGCACAGATCCTCTCCACCGACACGACGAACCACTCCGCAGAGAAAACACGAAACCTAAAATACCAACAGAGACTGGAAACAGAGGGAGCTCACTAATAAATGTGATGAATGAAAACTGAAGCCAGAGCTGCTTACACACATTAACATACAGTGACAAAATATACAACCAAGCTGCACGGCCAACGCCATCAATACTACAACCTGAGAGGAACCTGCAGTCACTACTCTGGGCTGAAAAAACCCTAAAGTCAATATTGTTTGTCAGGTTCAGAAACATCCTTTAATCAGAGGTGGATGAAGTACTCTGATACTTTACTTAAGGTAAAGTACTACTAATACCTCACTATAAAAATATTGTTACAAGTACTGCACAGAAAATGTTACTTATATGTACTTAAATTATTAAAAGTACTCACTGTCCTGTGACGTGAAGCTGTCAGATAAATGTAGTGGAGTAAAAAATACAATATCTCCCTCTGAGATATAGTGGAGTAGAAGTAGAAAGTGGCATGAAAAGAAAATAGTCAAGTAAAGTACAAATACCTCTAATTTGTACTTAAATACAGTACTTTTAATATGTATTTTTACTCACAGGTAAAATTGTCTTAAAATGTCCTAGAATTGTGTTATTTGCAGTAAAGTTAAGAATATTATCAATAAAGGAAACAACAGTTACACAGGTTTACATTTCATTTCTATTATATGACCAAAGCAAAAGAACCCTTTTTATTTTACAAAATGTACACAAACACTACATTTACATATATTTAACTTAATACACAGAACATTTGTAGGTTATTTGTGACTCTGTCTCTCAGCTCGTCTGTCTTTAGTAGTGTTTCCCCATGTATTTCTACACACAGTATGTCTGTAAGCGATGTATAAAACACTTGTTTAGCAGAATGAAATACACAACACGTTTTGACTTCACAGTAATGCAGCTGATTTCACATTATTAATTATAACCACATGTAAAGTATTGTCTTAATTTTGAGGTACATTTCTTGGACTTAACTTGTAAATTTCGTTTTTTTACTCCACTAAATGTATTTTAGCTTTAGTCATTAGTTACTGATTACAGTAACAGATTTTACAGATGAAACACGTGATCGATAATCTAATCTAGCTGTGAACTCGAGCTGTTTTAAGAATTGGGAGTGAGACCTCTTCTTTTCCTCCTTCGGAGTTAAAAATAATAATAGACGATCTTTGCTTCAGGATTCTTTCCCGCGTCTCCGATTTAAAAACAGATACTTAACATCGTAAAATGAAACGCACGCAGAATTTCCTACATAAAATAACAAACAGTCCTCAAATAATCTAATTTGCGTTAATCATTGTTTTCTGCTCTTATAAAGTATTATTTCATAAAAATAAAAAAAAGCTGCGTTCTTGCGTTCCTAGCTCGCTTGTTTCTACCCGGTCGGGTTACGCAGAGGGACCGAGGCAACATGACGGCGGTGGATGAAAACACGGTTCAGACTGCGGGAGAAGGAGCAGAAAATGACGAAGAGGCCAAACTACAGCTGTTAAAAGGCGAGTTAGCTGGTAGCTTGTAGTTTATATTAGCCGGTAGCTCGTTGTTTATGTTAGCAGTTAGCATGGTTAGCTGTCTGTTGAGCGTTTTTCTGTCTGAGGTCACAGCAATGTCGACCTGTCTGCTGCTCCTCACACCAGACTCCACTCAGAAATCAGACAGTTTTATGTTTCTTTAGTTATTAGAAACCCTGAAGGTGACTGCTGCTAAATCTGTAGTTTCCTCACGCACATGTACGTTCTTATCCAAGTTGTGACGCCAAACTCCATTCAAAACTTCTACAGTTTAAGGTTTCAAGAGTTCTGCATGAGCTGTAAACTATGATCAACGATTGTTCCTGAAACATGAAGTTATTTTGTTCAATTCGGCTAAATAAAATCGATCTCTGTTTTGCTTTCTACTTACTCAAGTCTTCTGCAAAGCGTCTTAACCTGTCAGAGGCTGTAATGGGGTTTGGCCTGCAGGGTGTCTGCGTTACAACATTAAGGGTTGTTTAGTTTCCTCCTGCACATGTGATGTTTTTCCAGTCACGCAGAGACCGAGACACCAGACTCCATTCAGAATCAGCACGGTTTAATGTTTCCGTGCTTACAGAGAATCTTCAATGAGCCCTAAAATATAACATGTCACTTTGTAAAAGGAGTCTTTAAATAGCTAAAATGTAAATGGGGTTTGGTCTGGGGGGGGGGGGGCAGCGGGGTTTAAGTAGGTTGAAGGTAATAAAAGCAGTTGTGTGTGTGATTGCAGAACTGAAATCTGACTTCCTGTGTGCAGGTGCAGCCTTTCTGACCACGGTGGCGTCTGCAGGGATGATGGCAGGATTTGGCTCCACGCTGGCGCTGGCCAAGAAGAAGAGCCCGGAGTGGTTCAGTAAGGTACACGCGGGGCAAAACACAGTTTCAACACGGGGCGGCACCATATCAGAAATGTCGCAGTCGATACCAGTGAAAGTCCACGATTCTCCACCGATTGGACCTTTTCAGACTCCTCCTACAGTAACAGGAGCAATAATCTGGGAGCACAGATACAAACTGAAAGGCAACATAAAGTACATCAAGATTTAAAATAATCAGAGAAAAACCTGCTCTGCATGTAAACTGATGTTTTGTCCGTGTTCTCAGGCGACGGTAAAGAATCTGTCGTCTTCTGCTCACTTATTGAAACATTAGGAAGTTTAATCTGCAACATTTACTGACACGACTTCACTTGTTTTCATTAAAACAGCAGAACGTATCACTGAGGGTGAAACTGGGTGAACACTCAAGAGAGTTTGTCACAGTCAGCCATGTTTCTTTATTCAGGCTCCTCCCCTGGAACGCCTTGAGGTCGAGCGTCAGATATTTCGACGTTTGGGGCTTCAGCCGCTCGTTGGCGTGCGATTCCCTGAAGTTAAACTTCAGCGGCTCGTCTGGTTTCCCTGCTGACAGACGGCGGGACACGTTCCTCCTGAGGTCGACCTGAAAACACGCCGCAGGAGAAGCTTCCCATCAAAACGCCAGCCGGCCTCGAACTCGTCCCGTTGGCCGCGTGCTGATTGGCCGCCCGCGGGATCTCATTAAACGTGACGCACATGGACGCTAAAGTTAGCGCGGAGGCACAACGGCGCACTTGTTCCCGGACTCTATTTCCAGCACAGACTCGTCTTTGTTGTCTACGCTGAAGCCCCCGAGGCCCCTCGGGGCCCCTGGGAAAATGTGACATTAGATTAAAGCGGCGCGTCGTGGCGGCGAGGAGACGCTTTGTCACATTTTAACCTTTACTGGGACACGGCGAACGTGGTCACTTTAGAGGTCACAGGGGTTCTGACCTTTGACCTCTGACACGTGGCTCCGCCTGCTGCTTCATCCCGACGACCACGATTACATTTCAGATGTTGGGTTTCTTTTTCCTGTCGTCATGATGTCATCTCCTAAACGCCGACTCCAGCTCTGACCTTTAACGGTTTCCCCGTCTTCTTCCTCTGCAGGGCGTGGCGGCGACGACCGCGGCCCCGGAGAGCGGCGCCTCTCTGGCCCTCAGAGCTCTGGGTTGGGGCTCCCTGTACGCCTGCTGCGGCGTCGGCCTGCTCAGCTTCACCGTGTGGAAAGTCCTCGGCGTTCACAGCGTACGTACGTCTGGGGTCACATGACCAGGTCCGGGTCAGAGGACCTAAACCTGCCGTCCCGGATCACCTGAGCTCAGATCATGTGTTAAATTTACCTGCAGATTTTAGATCACTTATTGGTCGTTTAGCCGTTTCCTCGCTGACCTCCTTCTTCTTCTTCTTCAGTTACCAGAGTTCAGACGGAAGATGCAGTCCTTCTTCCCGTCCATCCCAAAGACCCCAGAACCCGCAGCTGGATCTGAACCCGTGGACTGGGACGCCGTCTTCAAGTCAAAGTGAGCTGCTGCCGGAGGACCAATCAAACGAGACGACAGAGAGACACTGAAAACACTGCGGAGAGACTCTGAGAAACCTCCGCTGGCGTGTTTCTGAAGAGCGGCCGAGACCGGAGAGTCTGGGTCCTAGTCCTGGTCCTAGTCGTGGTCCCAGGTCTGGGTCCTGGTCCCAGGTCCCTCCTGGTTGTAAATATTTGTGGGTTTTTAAAAGAAGCAGAACTGAAAACATGTTGAATTCTGTCTGATGTGAATCGTGATGAACTGAAGTCCAGACCTGGTCTGTAAAGGTCAGAGGTCACGGTGACGCGTTGGCTTGATGTAGGACGTCATGGCGTCTAAAATAAAGTGTTTCAGCCGTTCTGTGTCTCAGCTGGAGGAACAAGTTCAGTCTGAACACACGAGCCCTTTAGTGGAGCTTTCCGCCACATCACATGATCTTCCTCAGCAGACAGACGGCGTCCTGGTTGGTGCTTGAATTTCCTGTTTATTTTGGAAGCACTTAAAGTAAAAAGGCAACAACCAGGACGCCGTCTGTCTGCTGAGGAAGACCATGTGATGTGGCGGAAAGCTCCAGGTAGAGACTCGACGAACATCTGAGCGTCACTTCGACGCAGAAACTGTTTGTTGTGACGACTTTATGAAGTTATTAAAAGATTATTAAACCAAGTTTCAGCCGTCTGCTCTGTGATGAACTCATGAAACATCAGTAGAAATCGTGTACAAATACTACAAGTACAAGTCCTGCATTCAGAGTTTTACTTGTGTAAAAGTATTTAAAGGATCAAAAGTAAAAACTGTGTGTGCAGAATAAAACAATGTTACTGTATAAACAGCTGTTTGATCTAAATCTGTAAAACATTTATTGGTAGATTATATTTTGTTTTAATCTGAAGTAATCAGATAAATACTGTTCAGTACAAACTACAGTACTTCCCTCTGACGAGCGGTGCAGTAAGTACACAGTAAACATACTCTGTGAAAGTTTCAGAAATACTCCTGCTTCTCTGTGAGGCGTTCAGAGTTCAGCGCTAATATTAAAAACACGGCACTTTTTACTTTTCATACATGTGTACTTTTAAAAGCGGGTACTGAAATTTAAACTGAAGACTTTTACTGGAGTAACGCTGAGCGAGCGGATCTGTACTTTTACTCAAGCACAGATCTTAATATTTTGACTTTCCTCTCGTGAAAATGAGTTTATTTTTAAATAGTAGGACTAAAATAAGATCTTTACTCAGAATCACAGCTTAATGACATTAAATCTAAACTTTTATCCTCAAAATATGACGACTTCTGTTGAAAAGACGCTCAGAGTGAAACTACATGTGAGAACCTTCTTGTTCCTGGACGTCCAGGATCTGCGCTCAGAACCGGCCCAGGATCTGCTCTCAGAACCGGCCCAGGATCTGCGCTCAGAACCGGCCCAGGATCTGCTCTCAGAACCGGCCCAGGATCTGCGCTCAGAACCGGCCCAGGATCTGCTCTCAGAACAGTTCATTCTGTCACACATCTGTCAATCAAAACAGGAGGCGTTGTGGATGTAGAGACTTTCTTTTTTCCTCTTTACATTTGTTATAACTGTGTTTGAGTCGACATGGTGAGTCCCACCCGCCCCGCCCAGACCTCCTGTACATACAGTCCGTCAAATCAAACGCACCCTCCCAGATCAGACCCCCACATAAAATCCCGAAACTGAAGATTTCCCTTAAATTACAGAAACAAGAGTTCACCTGCCGGGAGGAGGCGGAGCTGCGGTGAGAGGTGGTTATTTACAGGATGGAGGACGTCTGCACGTACAAAGTTATTAAAAAACACAAAGTGGCGTTCGATACTGTCGAGGTCGGCAAAATACTGATGGTCAAAGGATTCACATTAAAAACAAACCTATTGCACCAAAACAAAGTTTCCTGTCGCAGCACAGAGTCACCGTTTAAATAAATCTGACGACCACAGAGAGCCGGACACGGGCGCTCGCCGCCGCCGCCGCCGCACTTTGGTTCAAACCAAACAACAAACTGACCAAAGAATAAAAAAGTATTAAATATTTTTGTATTAAAATTACTTAAAAATCCCAAATAAAGGTTCTGCTGATGGAGCGAGGAGCTTTATAGATTCTATATATTCTTTAGTTTGTAAAAACCTTTCTGTTCTTTAAATAAAAATATAACCGCAGCCAGTTCCCCGTCACACTGAGCGCGCTCCGTGGCGGCGTTCCTGTCACGAGCGGCCGAGTTTAAACAGTACGTCGCACATGACGGCCGCCACCGAGGAGCTGAGGGCGGCCGACAGCGAGATGTCCAGCAGCCGGCTCTCGTACAGGACGAACTCCGTCCGGTTGTCCTCCACCCTCGCCATGGCCAGCAGCGCCTTGGCGGCGCGGCACATCATGTTGACGCTGGGCGGCTCCGGCGGCGCGGCGGCGTGCAGCACGCTGTGCGAGCTGAGCTGGTACTGAGCCATGGCCACGCTGTCCTCCAGGAAGCCGATCAGAGTTCCCACGCTGCCCTTCAGCAGGGCGATGGCGCGCGCCGCCGTGGGGTCGCCCTGCGCCAGGTTGGACAGGACGGCCACCGCCATCTCCCGACACACCTGGCTCTTCCTCTCGCCCACCAGGCGCACCAGCGTGGCGTAGAGCTTCTGCTGGCGGCTGAAGGGCGGCGTGGCGAGCAGCAGGTCCACGTTGCAGTCCTGGATGCTCAGCTTGCACAGACACTCCAGCACCAGGCGCTGCGGCGACAGCGAGGAGGCGGCGCCGCAGAACGGGTCCTGGGCCTCGGCGGACGGGCACACCATCCAGTGCAGCAGCCCGTCCAGGAGCGGCAGGCAGATGTTCTCAGGGTACAGCGACAGGTCCAGCTGGCCCGCCACGTTGGCGAGCGTCACCAGCGTGTTCTCCCGGAGCGCCGCCAGGCAGTCCCACCACCACTCGTCCCGGCTGCAGGCCAGACCCTGCTCCTCCTCCCGCTGGTAGCTGGCCGGCGTCCGTTTCCTGCGGGGGTGGTGGTGGTGCAGCAGAACCAGCCGGCCCAGGATCAGCACCAGGCCCGGGTGCCGCGACATGTCGGCGTCGTTTCCGGGTACGAAGGAGAGGCCGCGCACGATGTTGGAGACGCAGAGGCAGCGCCGGGCCAGAGAGTCCTGCCAGGCCTCGGCGGTGGACAGCGGCGCCTCGTCCCAGCAGCGCGGCTCGTCCTCCAGCTGGCTGATGGGACTCTGAGCCGGCGACTTCTGACCTCTGACCTCAGACGGCGAGCCTGCAGAGAGAAACGCTCAGAGATCAGACATCAGAATCGATTTATCACGTGATTAAACTGCAGCTGTGGGCTCCTGGTGCTCCTCACCTGTTTCAGGCTGCGTCTCCTCGCCGGGCGCCACGCCTCCCTCCTCCTTCTGCGTCTCAGCTCCTCCCGCTCTCTCCTGACTCTTCCCCGCCGGTTTGGAGGGGGTGGAGTCTCCCGTCAGGATGTGGGCGGTGGTGTCTCCGCCTCCGGCCCTCCAGTGCAGGAGGCCGCTGATGAAGCCGTTGGGTCGGCCGAGCTCGGCCCAGCGCTCCTCCACCTCCTCCCACTCCTCCCCCTTCTCCACCCTGATTGGCAGCTTGTCGTACTTGCTGGCCTGCTTGGGGCGGGGCTCTGCCTGCTCCTCGCGCTCCTCCTTCACCACCACCTCCTCTTTGACGACAGGTTCGCCCTCTTTGGCGTCGACGGCCGGTGCAGCTGTGAGCAGCGGCGGCGTCCTCTGCTCCTCGGGTGATTGGCCGTTGGACTCGGAGGAGGAGGCGGCGGCTGGCGGCTCCTTCAGCACCTTCTCCATCTCTGGAGGGTCGAGCAGGGGCCCCAGCAGGGTCCTCTGGCCCTCGGCCCCCACCTCGTACTCCTCCAGGATACCGAAGATCTGGATGAGGCAGCGGCGGTAATACTCCACGATGAGCTCCAGGAAACCAGGGAGCTGCAGGAGGAGAGGAGGAGGTCAGGAGGAGGAGAGGAGAGGAGGGAGAAGAGGAGGGAGAAGAGGAGGAGGAGATGAGGAGGAGGTCATGAGGAGGAGAGGAGGGAGGAGGTCAGGAGGAGAGGAGGGAGGAGGTCAGGAGGAGAGGAGGGAGGAGGTCAGGAGGAGGAGATGAGGAGAGGAGGGAGGAGAGGAGGAGGTCAGGAGGAGGAGATGAGGAGGAGGTCAGGAGGAGAGGAGGAGAGGAGGAGAGGAGGGAGGAGAGGAGGAGGTCAGGAGGAGGAGATGAGGAGGAGGTCAGGAGGAGGTCAGGAGGAGAGGAGGGAGGAGAGGAGGAGGTCAGGAGGAGGAGATGAGGAGGAGGTCATGAGGAGAGGAGGGAGGAGGTCAGGAGGAGGAGAGAAGGAGAGGAGGGAGGAGAGTAGGAGGTCAGGAGGAGAGGGAGAGGAGGAGGAGAGAAGGAGGAGGAGAGAAGGAGAGAAGGAGGAGGTCAGGAGGAGGAGAGAAGGAGGTCAGAAGGAGAGGGAGAGGAGGAGGAAGTCAGAAGGAGGAGAGGAGGAGAGGAGGGAGAAGAGTAGGAGGTCATGAGGAGGAGATGAGGAGGAGGTCATGAGGAGGAGAGAAGGAGGTCAGGAGGAGAGGGAGAGGAGGAGGTCAGGAGGAGAGGAGGGAGGAGAGTAGGAGGTCAGGAGGAGAGGGAGGAGGAGATGAGGAGGTCAGGAGGAGGTCAGGAGGAGAGGAGGAGGAGGTCAGGAGGAGGAGAGGGAGAAGGTCAGGAGGAGGAGAGGAGGAGGTCAGGAGGAGGAGAGGGAGAAGGTCAGGAGGAGGAGAGGGAGAAGAGGAGGAGGAGGAGATGAGGAGGAGGAGGAGATGAGGAGGAGATGAGAAGAGGAGGTCAGGAGGAGAGGAGGAAGGAGAGGGAGAAGGTCAGGAGGAGGAGATAAGAAGAGGAGGAGGAGATAAGAAGAGGAGGAGGAGGAGGAGCGTCTGACCTGTGTGAGGCTGAAGGAGCCCACGGTGCCGTCGTCGTACAGCAGGATGTTGATGGTGTCCAGGGCCCAGCTGCTCTCTGCTAATAGGCCGGACTTCAGTGACATCATCACCCGCCACGCCTCCGGTGTTCCTGATAGGACGAATTCAACCACAGAGCGGCTCAGACCTGTTCCTGAACTCTACACGTGTGTGCGTGTGAGTGTGCGTGTGCGCAGCCTCACCCGTGTCCTTGGCGGTGAGCCGGCGTCGGGGCTTCAGTTTGGGGGGCGTGGCCTCCACAGAGCTGGGAGGGAAGCTGACCTCTCTGTTGATGAGCTGGAGGCCCTGAGTGGGCGGGGGGCCGTGGGGGAGCTTCTTCATGGAGGGCAGGTAGGGGGCGCTGTTGGGGGACAGCGAGCCCCCCAGGGGCCGGGGGAAGGAGGAGGGGCTGTGAGAGCGGGTCACGTGGTTGGTGGGCGTGGTCTGGAAGGGGGAGGGGGGCTGTCTGGAGGACAGGGGGGGCATGGAGGGAGAGGAGGAGGACGGAGAGGAGTGGGGGGGGTACGGTGGCTGGCGTTGGCCTGGATGACTGGGGGCCCACTGGCTGTCCTGGGGGGCCCTGCCCTCCTGGTCATCTCCTCGCCCCATGCCAGGATAGGGGGGCCCCTGGCCCTGCCGGCTGTACGTGTAGCCCATGTCTGTCCTGGGGTGCCACATGTTGGCCTGCGGCCCCTCCCCAGGGCCCCCTGACACCGCCGCCGGTCCTGAGCCTATCATGCTGTGCTGCAGGGGCCCCTGCCGATCCCGAGCATACGGATACGGGAACTGGCCCTGGACAGGCCGCCGCTCAGGGCCCATGTAGCCTCCGCCTCCTCCACCGAAGGGGCCGAACATGTCAGGCTGCTGAGGGCCAAACTGCTGAGCGGCGAAGGGTTCGCCCTCGTGGCGCTTCGCCGGAGGATACAGACCCTCCATTGGACGCTTGTATCCCTGAGGACAGAGAGAAGAGACAGCTGATTGGCTTCTACAGAGCGACAACCAATCACAGAGCTCCCTGACTCGTTTCTACCCAGTAACAAGTCACACTAAGCTCTGATTGGACGGGACACTGGAACACTGATTCATAAATATTTAAATGTCATCGTGGTGCCGTGACCTCTGACCTCTGCGCCGTGTGTCCTGCTCACCTGCTGCTGAGGGTACAGGGGCTGATGGGAAGTGTAGGCCACGCTGTGAGGATACTGCTGCCCGTACCCGTCGTGTCCGTGCCTGAACAGAGGCGGTAAAACTGATGAGACCACCAATCACAGAGCAGCATCTAAAACACGATAATCTAAACTACAAACTGAAGAACGCTTCTCCTCTCAGCCGTCCTCTCACCTCTGGGGGGGGTATCTGTTGGCGGGGTACATGCCGGCGTCGTTTCCAGATGGACCCATGCTGTTCTGACCTCCAGGCGGCGCCATGCCTGCCTCCGGCGCCATCACGTGGTCCGGCCTGACAGAAACATGCAGCGGGTTAGAGAAGGGAACGTGTTCTGGTTCCTGTTCTGCACTCCTGACCAGCATCTCACCTCCGCTCGTAGCCGGGGCCGTAGGGGTACTGGGGTCTGGGGCCCATGCCCGTCAGGGGCCCAGACGGCGGCCCGCGGGGGTACATGTCCTGCATGGCACCGCTGGGCATCTGACCGGGACCAAAGGCCTCGCCGGGCCCCGGACCTGAAGGGGAACAGGTGAAGACACGTGTTGTCTACTTTGAACTGAAGATAATCTAAAACCTGACAGGGGGATTCTGGGAAACGGCGGCTGGTGATGTAACGTGTGTGCAATGTGGCTGAAACGCCATCAGCATGGCAGATGATAAACGGCAGTCTGACCAGCAGGGGGCAGCAGAGTATAAAACGTGTGCCGTGGTGTTTGTTAGAGACCCGTGGCCCTCTGACGTGCTGCAGGGCCTCGTGACGGGTCAGAACATCGAGACCTCGCGCTAAAAACATCTCAGACTTCCTGTCCGAAGGAAACGACTGCTGGAGCAGAAATAAAGAGCTAATGGCTGCTGCAGGTCAAAGATCATCACATCATCACCTTTCCTCGACCCTCCGTACGGGTCTTTGTTGGCGTCGTACTGCATCCTCAGTGAGGGGTCTGTCGGCCCTCCTCCCTGCTGGTAGGGGGGGCAGCCGGGCCCCGGGCCTCGCTTGCTGTGGAAGGCCGGATCGCTGCCTTCAGAGAACGGGTCCTGGACGCTCACTCCTGCCAAGTTCCTGAGAGATGAACCACAGTAAATGAAACTACTTCACATTCACACAGACCGACCCTGATTCAGCCAAACTCCAGTCAGAAAACAAGCATTTTAACCGTTGTTTGCTTGTCATCTTGCTGACAGACCTGACAAAGCATCAATTCACATTTTTAACACATCAGCATCATGATGTAAATATTTCGGGATCAGTTTGATCCGTTTATTGTAACTAAATCACAGCTAAATGTTTATTTTACTGCTGCATCACAATATCTCACAATAACATCGTAGACGCACCGCTGCGTGGTCATGAAAGCTCATAGATGGACATTATTTCAGAATTTAGCATTAAAGCAACTTGATTAGAGAATAATCAGAATGACTGTTTAGAGGAGTGGTTCTCAAAGTTGGATCCGGGGACCCTGAGCAAAAACGGTGAATAATTGTAATTGGGAAACTGTTAGAACATAAAGGAAACCGTCTACTGACAAACACTTTGCCGCCGCAAAACCCACAGAGAGAATGTCAGAAACGCATGGAGGACGAGACACTGAGGCTGCTGCATCCTGGTCAGCTGCAGGACAGAATCAAGGTCAGCTGGTTTAAACATGCAGGGTCAGAGGAAACACTGATGTAGTGTATCAGGAACAGCTTCCTGTCCTGTCTGCATGACACAGAACTCTGGTGTGTGGTTTAAGAACTTAGTTTAGGAATTAAAAAGTCTAGTGTTTAAAATTTTAGAAAGCTTTTTCAAAAGTATCAATTATTATTATTTAACTATAATTCTAGTTTAAAAAAAAAATCCTGATAGAAAAAAGGATCCTGGAGGGATCTATCAGGCTAGTCTGGTCATGTGTTTGAGACACTTTCTTTAATAAAACATCTAAAAGCCAAAATCAGATCCCGAATCTAATCCAATAGGGGTCTGTGGTCCCTGTTTGTCTGTTACATGGCACTCAGCTCTGTGCACAGTACAAACCATCAGCAGGAAACACAGGTTATGAACCGGCATCTGTTTAAAACCATAAAATCCAGGCTCTCACCAGATCGCTACGTGCTAAAAGCTAATTATGCGCTCCCTTTTATGCTAAAAGTTAATTATGCGCTCCCAAGTGAAAGTGAGGTTCATATCCTGAACATTCTTCGAGCACTCTCACCTCAATCTGAATCGATTTGTCTCTGTATTCATTTTAGAAGAGGTGTTCCACAAGGCTCGATCACGGGGCCTCTACTATTACATTTATATACGCTATTTTTAGGGGCCATCTTTGCTTCTGTTGACTCTCTGAACGTGTGACACCAGAGCTGAACGGAGATCCAGCAGGGATCGATAAATCTTTTGGTCTCCACGGTGATCTGTGAGCCCCTCCCCTACCTGTTTCCGGGCTGGGGACCCATCTGGCTGTGCGGGGTGGAGGCCGGGGTCGGGGGCTTCAGGTCTCCGGGGGCCTCGGCCAGGGAGCTGCTGCTGGACTGAGGGGTGTTGGGGCCCTGCAGGGAGCCCGAGTTGGCTGCAGAGATACAGACCAGACAGAAAACCTGCTGAGAACAAGATTAACGTGTCATCATGTGGCGCCACACCGTCATTCAGACACCAGAGAGGACCGGAACCCACTGAGGAGAACCTCTGCACCAGACCGGTTGTTTTAGTGCCTGTGGGGTCCAACAACATCCTGAAGACCAGCAGAGGGCAGCAACCAGGCTCAAATAAGACCAACACATAACCAGAAGGAATGGAAAGGCTCTCTATGCATGAAGTTATTTAGATGAAATCACACGCTATTCACTTCCTGCGGATGCAGAGACGAGTTTGTTTGCTCTGAGCTTTGTGGTTTTTATGTGGTCTAACGAACTCAAGACGTTGGAGCATCAGGGATGGATTTTCCTGAACAGGAAACGGTTTAATTATTTACCAAAAAATAATATTTTCTATGTTACGGTGAGACGTCAAAAGGTCACATGTTGACCCAATATGTAGTCGCTGTGTTTTGACTTTGTATCAACACATTTAATCGTCTCTGACAGGGGAGAGAGAGAGAGAGAGCGAGCGAGGCATCGTGGGAAATTAGGTCAGATTGAGGTCACTGGTGTTTACATTCACGCTCCCCTCCCCCGCCAGACAGCTCGCTGCTTCTGTTACATAACCAGATGAGTTTGGGGATCTGGAGCGTTTCTGGCTTCGTCTTTCTGTTGCTGTGATGCTTCTTTGGCGTCGGTGATGTCACCGTTTACATCTATCCTGAATCGATTATTGCAATTCTTCGCTAGCTTGTTCAGCATGCGGCTGCTGCTGACTGGTACCAGGAAGAGGGGCCACATCTCCCCGATACTGGCCTCCCTCCACTGGTTACCTGTCAAACATTGAAAGGGACAGTTACTTGTTTATAATCTCCTCTGTATGTGTTTCAGATCTCCTTACATTCCACTCTTCCAGGTCCCTTCAATCATCAAACCAGGTCCATTGACCCGTCCACAGTCTCGAGACGTTTCTGGTTGTGGCCCCGAGAGCGCTGAACTTACTTCCCATTATTATCATCAGGTCGCCCCCCCAGACTTTTCTATTACTTGTTTTTTATTGCTTTTTTTTAGCTGTGCTTGGTGAACACAGTGAGTCACACTAGTGAAAACACTGACTGACTGTATGACCTGCACACAGAGGGAAGGCCGTTCAGCTTACAGCTTGTTAAGTGCTCGTGGTGGTCTCAAAGAGAACAGCTGAGTCCTCACCTGGGGACGGTGGCTGGATCTTGGCCTGGAGTGACAGAGGTTTCTTGGTGTCTCCGGCGGGCCCCAGGGCCTCAGGTGGGGGCTCCTCTCCTCGCTCCACCTTGCACTCGTAGGCGAACAGGTACTGGATGTACTGCTTCTTCAGAGAGCTGGCCGAGCTGCTGGACGTCCCCACGTTGAGCTGGGACGACAGCTCCCTCCACTTCTTATTCTTGTTCACCTGAGGAGGACAGCGATCAGCATTTGGACGACTAAGAAATGAATCAGTACTGAAAATAATCTGATAATATTTGATGGCTAAAATGAACAATAATCAACTAAAAGCTGAAACTAAAACTATAGATTCATCAAAGCCGGCTCACCATGGCCAGGCCCCCGATCTCTCTCACAGCCAGGTACAGTCTGCACAGGTCCAGAGGTTTCTTCCCCACGGCCGGAAGGGTTGGGACCGGCGTCCCCCTCTCCTCCATGAACGACAGGAACCGGTCCACCCAGGGCCTCCTCTCCGGCTCCGAGCCCATCTCGTAGAGCTGGGCGACGTCCTCGTTGGTCGTGGTGGCCATGCCGGACTTCTGGAGAGACATCAGCTGTCAGGTTTACAGAGCAGAGGAGGAGCACGACTCCTTCACCTCCTCACAGCCAACACGGACCAAACGACAGTTCAGCAACCGCAGCGCAAGGGGAACCTCTGAACCTCTGCAGCTCGGCCCAGCAGACTGATGCACCGGCAAAATCCACCAGAATCTACTTTACAGGGTCTGACGGTCATCTACAGTCACCGTATTTGTTCGACACGAACAGAAATGCAGAGGTGTTTGTCTCAAAACTATCAGAGATAAATAAATAATAATAATTAAAATCTTTATCACTGTAAAGTACAACACTGATGCAGCGTTACCCGGTCAGTTGAGCATCTGACTTTACAAAGCTTCATCTACATGTTCAAACTGCATTAGCTTAAAGCGCCGTTTAATTCAACGTAACGCGGCATCTTCATGGGAAACGGGGAAGAAAAACAAAGACGCTGGTCTCGCTAGCAGCTCCTCTACGTACACAACAAACTCCTCTCCCTCGTTTCCGCCGGCGTCTTCCTGCAACGACTGGCCTGGCACCAGATTCTAAGTCTGACCCTGTCGACATCAACATGTGTGAAAACAAAGGTTTACATGAAGCCAGAGGAAAACCTAAATCTAAACATGCTTCATGTTTTTAAAGGTCTGCGTCTGAAAACAAGTCAAACTGCAGGATTTTATGTTTTATGTTTTTTACGAGTCGATACATATCGTCACAGTGCTGCCCAGCCTTTGTCCTTTAGTCAAACGCACGTGCTGTCCATCCAAACACTCAACTGAAAGCCGACGGATTCAGACTTTAGTTACTCGCAGAGCAGGAAAAAGATTTTATCTGTATGTTTAAAAGTCTGGCTCGGGTGTCGTCACGACAGCGAGGAGCACCAAGTGGTCTCCATCATCATGGACGACCCCTCAGAGGTTAAACTGAACGGTCAGTCAGGACGGAAGAAGCCTCTTGGATGAGAGACGAAACGTCTTCGAGTATCTTCAACTGTGGATAACTGTGACCTCGGTGACTGAGAAGCTTCACAGACCTCTGCTAAAGCAGAAACGCCGTCAGTACGCCGTCTCCTCAGCGCTCGCTGCCGTCTAACTGAAGGGCGCTTAATTCAACCACTTTCTGATTTTTTTTAAATGAGAAGGTCTCGCAGGAAACAAATCAACAAGAAGCAGGTAATAAATAAATTGTCCAATGAAAACCTCGTAAAACCTGTGGTGGAAACAGGTGAGACAGAATCTGGAGTTACGAGGTTTTCACACAAACCAGCAGCAGAAGCGGGGCTCTACGGTGGGCCGAACGTGGTCAGAGTCTGAAGCCCCCCAACACACAAACACATGCACAGAGACGTGTGCTCGGCTCAGCTTTGCACTTACGGGGCTGGTCGACGTCTTGGGCCAGGCGGGGCTGCTAACGCTATCGCAGGAGGACAGACTAGCTGAGCGGGGGGACATGGGGGAGTGCGTGGGGGGCTTGGACACGCACTGAGCGCTGTAGCCGTCCTGTGATACAAAACACACACACACACACACATACAACAGAGCCGCGTGGTGCGGCGGCGTCAGGACGGCCAGCTGGAAAATTCAGAAAATGAAAATGAGAGCGTTTCGTTGTGTCGGAGAGCAGAAGCTCAGGAGTGACGTTCAGCAGCTGTGACAGCAAGGTTAATGAGGCTTGTTACTTCACACAGAGAGCAGATTAACAACAGGTCATTAACCCTCCCTGCTGGTTAATCGCCCTCCGAAACACTGAGCAACACATCACTTCCATTAGCAAGAACATGAATGACCACGAGCAGAAGAAGAAGAACAACACGAAGCTTTTCACTGAAACGAGATTGATTTAGCAAAAAGACACGTACTGGATTAGAATCGCTGACTCCACCTTTGACATCAGGAGGAGCTGCTAATGAGGACAACTGAAGATTAAATGAGATCTTCTGTCAGGTCCCCTGCCGCCGCCTTACCGCTACTCTGAGTTACTCTAGTTATCTGGGAAACAGTGGGACTGTTGTGCTTCTGGACTTTGAAGTTCCCACCCTGTTGTCTCACATCCGCGCTGAAGTCTCTCTGACAGCTGACGCCAAAGACAGAAAACACACGCCTAACCAACGGAGCGTCGAGCCGCTTCAGCTCAAAGCAGAGAGTTAAGAAATTAGCAGCAACGCAGCCTCTGTGGAGCCGCAAGCTGCACACGCCGAGCAGCCGGTGCTCATCAAGCGAGCCTCGAGTCAAAGACGAGTCGTCTCGCGTAACCCCGACCGCCACACCTGCATCCTACACAGGGCTGATCAAGGCCGACTCTATTGGATAATGAGGAGAGGAGCGTGAAACAGAAAATAAGTCTCTCCAGCTGCTGAGAGGGAGCGAAACCAGAGCGGAAAACAAGATGAGAGAAGCTAAACTCTGGCTCACGTTGGCGGGGACTGGTTATTTTGGGTTTGCTGTAACCAGAAATAATGACAGGTGGAAGAAACACCACGCTGCTGGAAACAGACTGATCAGAACGAGGAGAGCCGGCTGGGAAGATACGAAGCGGCACCGGGGAATCGTTTCCTTTGTGAAGCGTCTCCTGGTTGGAACAAACAGACGTCACGTCAGTCTGAAATACAGATTCCTCCGACAAGCTAAACACAAAGTCTGATTTTTAGAAACTTTGTTGTTTACGCCCTCGCCGAGATCTCTGCCAGAGTCTAAGTTGATTTATTAAATAATACATACATTGAAAGCTATATTACGCTTTCAGACAGGACTCGTCTCCAGGGCTTTTCTGTTTTTATTGATCAGTTAATGAAATGACCACGTACTAACTTCCACGTAGTGAACCGGGAGCCTTGGGGACCCTGAGGCCCCGGGGTCCCAGCCTTTTATTAGTTTTAGTGCATCCTTCCATTTCGATCTTGTCCATTTTAACTGAATCACTTTTTAACTTTATGTAATTTGAAACTTCTTGATTTAATTTGCCTCTGTTTGGAAAAGTTCTTGTAAAGAACTTTGTAACTCTGCTGCATAACAAAGTTTATCATGACCGTTTCACCTTTTCATCTTCAGCGTCGCATCATCTGATCTGTGGCCATCTGAAAACAAGCACTGTTATGTAATTTGATCACCGCTTGTGGTGGCGAGGAGTCTGGAGGAAAGACCTGAGCTTAATGTTAATGTTCCTGCGCTCGGCTCAGCGCACCTGCATCTGTCAGCGTGCAAGGAGAGCAGAAACAGCCGCTGTGATTGGTTAACAAAGCCAGAGGACACACCTTGGGTTTGGGTGGTTCGGAGGCGGGGCCGACGCCGTCTTTGCTGAGCTCAACCCTCTGCTTGGCGTCTAGATGGGGACCCATCCCCTCTGCCTGCAGCATCATGGGGCCTGAAAGACAAGAACCAGGTCAACGGCAACAGATCCTGACCCCAACAGCAGCGGGGCCTCCATTCTGATCTGCGGTCGTACCTGAGGACGGGGCGCCGTAGGGCGGTCCCTGCGGCGTCATCCTCCCAGAGTTGCTGCCTGGTTGCTGGCTGTAGGGACCTCCGGGGCCTCCAGGGCCCATTCCTGCCATTGGCGCCATGCCCAGGTAGCTTCCCTGCCTGGACAGCACAGAAGAAAAAGGGGGTTTACGAGCTGTGAGGAAACTGGCGAGGCATGCAGGAGGTTAGGGCGAGGACGGACGTGAGGAAGAAAGCGTCCAGGAGCCGAGCAGTTAGTGGAGCCGAAGACAGAAACAAAGAGCTGAAGCATTTTTTATGAGCTGGTGGAAGCAGCGGCAGGTCCGGTCAGCCAGCTGCTGCTTCATTTCACGATTCAGTAGATGTGCAACCCAAAATGCACGTCTGAAAGCTCCAGCTGCAAAATTATTCTAAGAATGAACTTTTACGCCACTTATGACAACAAAGTCCTTTTAGTGCTTGAACTGAAAGACACCCGGGCCTCCAAGTCTACCGAGGAAGATCCTGCCAAACGATCAAAAGCTGAACAGACACCAAGTAGCAGGAACAGGGTTAAGGTTAAGTGTCTCGCTCGGGACACATTGGTGGATGTGCCGTAGCGGGAATCGAACCTGGGTCTCCCACACCAAAAACAATCCATTAGTTTTGAATATTTTCAGGCTTCAACCAGCGCTGCTGAGGCAGCGAGAGAGGGCCGGGAAGGAGAGCTGATGAGCAGAGGAGGAGGAGGAGGAGGACAGCAGCCAACATGCAGCAGGTAAACCTCTCTCTGTACTTTATTTGACTGACACAATGTGAAGCAGTTTTATATGCTGTATTTATATATATTTACATACTTCAAATATTGTAGTGGAGGACCTTCTATACGTTATTATTTAATCTTAATTTGTTATTTTAAAGAAAGCGTGGGCGTGTCCTCTGTTTCTGTCAGGCTCTGGTGCCAAACCTACCCATAATGCTCAGCAGGGCTCTGCACGGTGGGCTGGGGCTGAGCATAGGGTCCCTGCTGGGAGTGGTGAGGAGGGTGAGGAGGGTGAGGAGGGTGAGAGGGGTGAAGGGTAGGAGAGAGGGCAGGTGGACCCCCGGGCCAGGACTGGTTGTGGAAGGCCGGGGAACGAGCGAAGGGAGGCCTGGAGGGGTGGAGGGAGAAGCAACAACAACTCTGACTTGGTCCGAACTGTCGACTCTCTGCAGCTTCAAGCAGTAAAAATATCAGAACCCACGTTCAAAAACATCAAATGCAAAAACTAAACTCTGGGTTCTGATCAGTGGATCCATTTCAGAGCAGAGTCCAGGTAGAGGAAACACCTGAAACTCCACGTTTAAATACTGGATCTCACCTTCTTCTGTTGGAAAAGATCAGTGAACAAAACACAGAAACTCTCCTGGAAATCCTGGAAGGGGTTTTGATTTTCCAGACTTGACCCTGGCTCTGTCCAGACTCACCTGCCCTGGGCGGCTGAGGTCGAGGAGGAGGACGACGGCCCGGCGTTGGGGCCGACCTCAAGCAGTTTGCGGCTCGCGTTGGGCCCCGGAGGCCCCATGCCCTGCCCGGCGGGCTGTGGCATGCCGGGGGAGGTGGGGGCCATGGAGCTTCCTCCGGCGGGGTAAGGCCGGCTCCCGGGGCCAGGTCCCGGGCCGCGACCTGCCGGGGTGGACGGGCCCTGACCGTGCATGGGACTGCTGGCGTTCAACCCCAAGCTGTTGGCTAAGCCGGGACCCGGTCCAGGGCCGCAGTAGTTGGCACTGGGGGCCCCGCCATAGTGCGGGGGCCGAGGGTAGTTACCTGGAGAGGGGGAGGAGGGAACTTTTACAAAAACTGTTTCACTTCTGTAACTTTCCAAAGTGTTTTTCCTTCCAGGACACGGTGCGTACCTGGGGGCCCGTACTGGCCATATGAGCCGCCCTGCTGGTAGGAGCCGTGGTGCATGGGTCCCCCCCGAGGCTGGGTGAGGGGACATGGGTGGTGCTGACTGCTGAGGGCCAAACTGAGGCCCCTGGGCGCTACGCTGCATGGAGGGAGGGAAACCTGAAGACAAAGAGAGGAGATGCTGTTAGCTTAGCTTAGCACAAAGACTGGAAGCAGGTGGAAACTGCTAGCCTGGCTCCGGTCCAGGCATCCACTGGATGGACTGCCGTGACATCATGGCCCCCCAGAGTCCTACTGACTCCGGGGATCCTCTGACTGTCCTCTGGCGCCACCACGAGGTCCACACGTGTGGCTTTCAGAGACAAATGAAGAGTGAAGCACAACGCTCAGTCGTACCTCGGTCCTGAGTCACGGCAGAGGGATGAGGACCGCCGTCTGAACCAGGACCAGAGACCTGAGGGGTCATCTGAGAGCCTGACGGGGAGACACAGAGGGCGTTGGCTCCAACTGTGTACAGCTGCTTTAAACGGCTGTAAGACAGGAAGTGACGTCACCGTCCTACCTGGTCCGCTGGGGGCGGGGGACAGAGGTCCGGATCGCGATTGGCTGCTGGACCCGGCGGGGGACGGTGAAGGGGAGGGGGAGGGCCCGGTGCGAGCTGGCGGGGGGAGTCGCGGTGAGACGTGGGGGGAGAAAGGAGAACGGGTCGGGGTCCCCTGGTCGCCCTGAGCGCTGCCGGAGCCCGAAACCCCTGAACTCACCGCCGCCTCGGTGCCGGTGGGAAGGTCATCGATGGAGCCGGACAAATCCTGAAACACAGAGGAGGCGCAGGTCATTACAGGAGGGAGGAGGAGGAGAGGAGGGGAGGGGAGGAGGAGGAAGGTGGAGAGGAGGGAGAGGAGGGGGGGGGGGGGGGGGGGGGGGGGGGGGGGAGGAGGGGGGGAGGGGAGGAGGAGGAAGGTGGAGAGGAGGAGGAAGGTGGAGCCGGACAAATCCTGAAACATAGAGGAGGCGCAGGTCATTACAGGAGGGGAGGGAAGGAGAGGAAGAGGAGAGGAGGAGGAAGGTGGAGAATAGGGGGAGGAGGGGAGGGGAGGGGAGGGGGGGAGGAGGGGAGGAGAGGAGGAGGAAGGTGGAGCCGGACAAATCCTGAAACATAGAGGAGGCGCAGGTCATTACAGGAGGGGAGGGGAGGAGAGGAGAGGAGAGGAATAGGAGAGGAGGAGAGAAGGAGGAGGAGGAGAGGAGGAAGGAGGGAGGAGGAGGAGGAGAGGAAGGGGAGGAGGAGGAGGAGGAGAGGAGGGGGAGGGGGAGGAGAGGAGGAGGAAGGTGGAGCCGGACAAATCCTGAAACACAGAGGAGGCGCAGGTCATTACAGGAGGGGAGGGAAGGAGAGGGAGAGGAGGAGAGGAAGAGGAGGAGGAGAGGAGGGGGAGGAGGAGGAGGAGGGAGGGGAGGAGGAGGAGAGGAGGGGGAGGAGATGAGGAGGAAGGTGGAGCCGGACAAATCCTGAAACACAGAGGAGGCGCAGGTCATTACAGGAGGGGAGGGAAGGAGAGGAGCACTGCACTAAAATCTCCCATCTGCCCCATGGTCTCATTCCAGCCAATCACAGCGTAGCAACCCATCCTCCCTCCCTCCGCCCCTTGCCAACAGCTCAGCCAATCAGGAGCTGCCTCTCTCTCTCCTCGTGTGTTCTAATTATAAAGAGAGAGAGAGAGAGAGAGTCTGCAGCCTCGCTCGACCTTCCTCTCCTCCTCTTCCTTCACCTCCTGATGTCTCTCTCTGCTCCTCCTCAACTCCCTCACCTCCTCTTTTCTCCCCTCGCCTCCTCAGTTTCCTTTTATTTCCTCATGTTCAATCACCTCCTCCCTTACCGCTGCCTCTTTTCCTTCACCTCCATCCCCTCCTTCACTCTTTCTCCCCCTTTCTTCTCCTATTTGTCTCCTCCTCTCCTGCATTGTCGTTTTAATTCAGTCTCCCTTCTCCCCTCCTCCTCCTCCACCACCTCCTCCTCCTCCGCCGTTGAGCCACGTGTTTCAGACACAAACCTAAAGTCAAACAGACTCGACACGTTTTTATTGAACTCCTCCGAACGTTCGACCGACCAGCGAGATGCTGGCAAACTGCGCTCCCTTTTTAATTCCCACCTGTCTGTTGTTCGGGAGTCGTGTGACAAAATAAAGCAGCTCCTAATTTATTTAAATGACTTACCGGAGACGCGTCTAAATAAGCTTCGTTTCACCCCCACAAAGTCCCTGCCTGCCTTGCAGTGCATTTCTGATTGGTCGCTTTAAGTCGAGCACCGTTGACTCTGACATTTGCAAACTAATAAACCACATCAACAGCCAGATATCACACGAGTCTCCCCGACGTCGGCCTGAGATGGTTTAAATTCAGAGCTGGTCCTGCTGCGTGTTTACAGCAAACAGCAGGAGTTACGTTAAAACTGAGTCCGGAGTTATGAGGAGGTTTTTTACAAGGAGCCGGGGTCGGCCTCCTCTTCTCCAAAACAAACGGCTGATTGCGACAATAAAGCTCGTTAGAATCGGCTGCCTTGATGGCTTTATCCACTTTGTTGTCTCTTCATTACACTCAGACTACACTAAGGTCAAGCATCCTGCTGTTATTATGGTTTATTATCAAACCTGATGCTCCTGCTGCTCGTGGACGTTACTAAATAATGATGCTTTTTACGGCGTGAATCAAACGTCAGCTGTTGCTCTGCCTGATCTGCTGCTGGGTAAAGGCGTTTGGGAAAGTTATTAACCTGTTATTTAAACTTCAATAAATGTCGATTAAAGATGTATTTCATTTCTAAACTGGCTTCGAGTCTTGATTAGATTTTTAAAAACCTTGAAAAAGGAGAAAGAGTCGGCAGAAATGACGGAGCAGAGAACGTGAACTTATTGCAGAGGCTGTGAGGCCTTCAAGAGCAGCTGAGCTCTTTGTTTTTTATAGTGTCTTCCCCTCCGCCTGTCGCCATGGCAACTGCATCAGCACCACCGACTTCAAAAAGGATAGAGAGAGAGAGAAAGAGGAGGGGGTGGGGGGTAAGACACTGAAGAGAAGGAGGCAGGAGGAGGAGGAGGCAGGAGGAGGCAGGATGGAGGAGGAGGAGGCGGTGGCTCCAGGATGGAGAGATGAAACAGAGCAGTGAGCAGACTGATGCAGAGAGAGGAGCGTTCACAGTCAGAGCAGCTTTAAAACGGTTTGCAGACTCCTGCTGAGGGTTTACTTGCCCCACAGGCCGGACACAGACTCACCGGGCCACTTCTCTTTTTATATAAACCATTCAGGGCAGTTTATCAGAGACTCTTACAGTGAACGCAACACGCCGTCACTAAATATATAAAAACACATTCAAGTATCTGAGTCCTGTGCGTCTCGCAGCCTGATGAGGAAATAATGATTAGCAGCCTAGTTTTAACCTGCAAATCAGGAAATGAATGCTGTTTTGTTACTTACGACGGCTTCTTGTCAATATTTGTCAGACCAAATGATAATGAAACAAATTATAAATCCATAATTTAGGAAGGACTATCGTGCAGCCTGGCAGCCTCCTCTCAGGGTTCAGTGAGCCCATAGTTCATGCAGAGCTGAACACGTTCAGTTCAGCCAGCGTTCACGAGGACAGGTGATTATTTCAGGTGCGTCTCTCTCTGTGAGGCAGGAAGCATCAGGCGCCGACAGCGTGACGCCTGATTATCAACAACAACGACCACGCAGAGCAATCAGAGGCCGCAGGGAGGCCTGACACAACACGCCGCTCCTCGCTTCATATAATCAGGACAGGAAGTCTGAACTCACAGCTGCTTCGCCCAACCTTCACCTTCAGTGAGCAAACAGTGAACAAACTGTCCTGTGAGGGATTTCAAAATAAAAGCTCTCTCTCGTCTGTCGCTGAAAGTCGCTCTGAACAGGACGTCAGTTATGCCAATATTTTTATCTTTAAATGGATGCTGCATAAAATAATAGGATAAGTGTTCATGCCCCAAAGCCAAACCGGAGAACAGGACGGTAAAATGACGAGGCTGGCAGAGAGTACCGTAACTGCACTGGTGCTCGGTGACTGAACGTTGACGGACCAGGTTTCTCCTGTAAATATGCTCAGCTACTAAAGCTGGACCATTTCTTTCAACTCACAGATGTCAAAAATCAGTTACCGGGGCGACAGAGACGTGTCCTCTGTACCGGGCGCATTAGCGCAGCTGAATAAATGACCGCAGCTACTGAGGTTTCAAGCGATCATTAATATCAATATGGAACTAATGATTTTTACTCGTGGGTTTTAGCCACCGCGTCAGCGCCTCCGCCTGCCGGACCCGAGGTCGCCTGATCAAGTCAGGACTAAAGTCCTTACAGGCGAGTCATGGCACATCTCTGAGCAGCTATTTCAGTCCAGGCTCCGGTCTGAATGAACGGAGAGAGACACTTTCACAGCTCACCAAGACATAAAAACTACAATCTGCAGTAAAATCTGACAATCGCTGAAACATTTGACGACTTTGCCCCAAAATAAGGTTTAAAAAGCGTTTTTCCCGCCCGGCTCTACTTCGACTACGCTCGTGACCCTTACGTCAGTGGAACCACACCATTGGCTGAAATACGTTTCCTGCTCTGGCTGTTAAAGGCAGACGATTGGCTTTCTGTAAAACGTCTCTGGTACAACTCAGGGAGAACGGTTACCCACGGTAACACTCGTCCGGCCGCTGTAGCTGGATCAGCAAGGCGCCGTCACGCTGCCTGTCGCCGACGTCAACCAAACGCCTCCAACACGAGCGACAACTCCTCTGAGCTGCGCTCTGACTCACCGGCAGGCTGGACGGCCGCTCCTGTTGGCTCAGACCCATCTCCTCGTGGTTCGGCTTCCCAGGAGTCATGGCGGCAGACTGGCCCCGCCCCCCGTACGCCTCCTGCGGCACCTCCTGCATCAAGACAGACAAAGAAACAAAGTTCGCTGACATCTACGGACTTCTGAGGACACCTGAGGTTTAAAGACAGGATGAGTGATGACTGGAAAACGGCCGATCAGCTGGTGAGTAACGTGATGAAGGCCGTCAGGGATGTTCCTGTTGCTATGGACCTGTTGCTATGGACCTGACAGGCTCGCACTGAGCCGCCCTGCTAAAGCTTTTCTGTGCGCTGAATAAACTCTGGAAGCTTCGGAGGTGTCGGACAGGAAACAGCAGAGAGGTCAGCCTCTCCTCAGACCTTTCAGCAGGGACGCGATTACCTCTGCACACAACACCTCCATCGCACCGCCGGCGGGTTTCTGTCACATCAGCAGAATCTTAACACCCACTTCCTGTGTGCGTTGCATGTCAGAACATAAGGGGGTTTATTCAGGCCGCTCTGCAGGCTGATGAAGGAGATAAGAAGCAGCTGACGGCCGGGACTTCCCCTTCACTGCAGAAAACAAGCCGACGCCGTAAAACAGCCTGAAACTCTGATCGCTGATCTGATAAACTGAACTACATACTGATGAAATCTGATCCAGGAGGTCTTTGTGTTTCAAGGTTTATTACACACCAAAAACACTTTTCAGGATCGTACAACTCTACGACTGGTCGAATATTATAATAGCCTACATTGTTTAGTACAGCCAGTAAAACCGATCCCTTCAACCCTCTTCTATCTTCCACCTCCCTCTCTTTGTCCTGCTCTTGGGTCTGCTGGCCTCACCGTAACAAAGTTACCTACTCCTACTTACCTACGCCTACTCAGCGCACAGTTCGCCTTTTCGTTTATCAGCACAACTTAACGACGAGACTCGTCTAAAATCAGAGCTGTGGTGTCTATATCTTCTGGTAGCTGTTATTAGGCTTTTATTGTGAAAGATCAGCAGGAAGTGTTTGATTTACAGGAGAGCGGGTGGGAATGAAGAACAGTGTTCGTGGCTTCGGTCGTACCTGCTGTGGCAGTGGGCGGGGCTGCATGTAGGACGGCTGGCTCGGGGCGGCGGGCTGCTGCTGTGGAGGGCTGAAGTACGGCGGCTGACCCGGCTGACCGTAGCCTCCCACGCTCTGCTGCTGCTGCTGCTGCTGCTGCTGCTGCTGCTGCTGAGCGTACTGAGAGCCCATCTGACGACACAGAGAAACACAAAGCATCAGTCTCCACCTCCTGTTTCCATCCGCTCCTGTTGGTTCTGGAGAAAAAGCCAGGGCTCATCAGGACCCTGCACCGCCGAGCCCCAGAGAGAAGGAGCTCCTGAGGCTCGTGGATCAACAAACACCACATCCCCGTGTTCATTAAACCCAAGAACACGCTAAGACAGATACAGGTCCACAACCAAAGACCGCACACCCAAACACAAGAAAAGCAATCAGCAAGGAAGATTTAGACCCGTTTACTGGGAAACTAAACAACCTCTGCACAAACACATGGCTCAACACAGAAGGACCAACTCCTCAAGAAACAGCAGTTTACCTGCATCTGAAGGGTGAAGGACACTCGTTTGAGGACAACACCGTCCATATTGTGGACAGGGAGGATGGATGGAGGAGGGAAAGAAGTAATTTACCTCACAGAGGAGATCCCATCTCTCAACAGGGGAGGAAGGCTAAGACACCTCATATTCCCCCCTCACTTTATATAGCGCTTTAAAACTCAAAACGCTTCAGAGTGGAGTGGGATGGACCCACCTGGGTGATGCACGGCAGCCATTTTGAGCAACGCTCACCACACATCAGCTTGAGACGGAGAGGGAGGGAAACATTGAGCCAATTAAATCTGCCAATGCTGTCCTTTCATGTCTTCCTAGGACAGTGAAGAAACCCGCTCCACTAAGTACCCCTGCTGGTACCGCCACGGCTCACAGAAAGCAAAAGTCGCTCAGCTAGTCTTTGTAGTGGCGCCGCACTGGTAGAACGAGCTCCCGGCCAATGTCAGGACTCTGCGTAGCCTCCCTCCTTCACTCCCAACTGCCTCGCCGCCCCCCAAAAATGTTTGTACATCATGGCTCGTACAAATATAGCACTTAGCACTGTGTAGCATCTTAGCCTAGCAACTGAGATTGAAACATGTTCTATTGACATCTTTACTGTGCCGACAGTAAAGACAGACAAATGTACTTACTGTAAGTCAATTTGGACAAAAGCATCTGCTAAACGCCCTGAATTTAAATGTAACGTAAACAAACAAGCGCTCATATTTCGCCTCGTGTGACGCCAGCGACGGTCAGACCACAACAACAGAAGAGTCCAGATGCCCTTTGATTTTAACTTTGAGTAGTGTAATTCAAATGTACGCTAATCTGATTGTTATTCTGATTGTTGTATGAAGGTTCTCTCCTCAACAGCTTAGAAACAGACTCACTTTGGCTTGAACAAGTTAAATTTCTGCCCGTTTCACTGCAGCCTTTACGTTTAGCCATCATGACGTAGATGTAAACCTGCCACAGCGTTTATGGAACAAGCTGAATGTCTGAAAAGGATCTTACAGCAACAAGTTTCACTCATCTCTACTGTAGGAACGGCCAGAAAAGCAGTTCTTTAAACTGCTGCTGACCTGCTGAAGCTAACTGCTCAAGTTAAACCTCAGCACACCGACATTTACAGATAAAATCAGGGCTGCAGTGTTTTCTAACACTCCTTCCTCTCACATCGTTCTCCCCCCTGGAAGCTCATCCTCTCCTCAGGAAGAAAACGCAACAAGACGCAACCTCGGTGCAACCTGCGAGCGGCCCCGAGCGGCCCCCGGAGGACATGCGGGATTGGCTGCCTTGCTCAAGAGCACCTGTGATGATGTAATCAGGTGTCAGCCGTGATGTCTGCAGTGAGAAGCAGAACTAAGGCCCCAAAGCAGAGCCGACACGACCGGTTCACAACGGAAAATGAATCCACAGCTCTGTCCTTTATGAATATGAAACCAGCAGCGTACGTCTCTGAACTGACTTGGACTCTTGTGATACGTATTTTCACAACAAGCCTCTGCTTCCTGTATCAACTGTCAGCTGCTTATAAATTTCTTTCTGTTTTAAAGTAATTAACTCAGGCCGCGACTAACGACTGTCATTGTGTCGATTAATCTGTTGATTATTTTCCTGAATGATCGATTAGTTGTTTGGTCTCCTGAAGCCCGAGGTGACGTCTTCAAACGTCAGCTACCCACAGATTTACCAATTATTCCCGTTTGAGAAGCTGGACTGGATAATTACTCAAACCGATTAATGGATTATCAATAAGTGATTAATGTCGCAGCTCTAAATGTTCTAACGCAGTCAGAAAGTCAAACGGGATCAATCTCAGCAGCACGGAGAGGGAAGCCGGCGGGTCCACATCCAGAGTTAATAAAGGACGGGCCCCAGGGCCCCATTCAAGTCATTACCTTTCCTCCCTCTGCCTCTTCACCTGACACCACTTCCCTCAGGCTGAACAGAAACAAGCAAGTGATGTAATGACGCCGTCATTTCTCAGGGATGATGGTGGGGGGGTAATGTACGAGCTGAGAGAACCAGCGTCTGACTGAACCACCTGAAACCTCCTGCTGCTGCTTCTCTCAAGCATTTAAACCCGAGTGCTTACAACAACTAAAACTCCTGCGAGAGCACGCCGCCGTGCGATCGACCAATCAGCATGCAGTTTTCACCTCGCAACAGGACAGTGTTAGGATTAGCACGAGTTACAAGATTTGCATTGTGTTTTTATTTATGTTTTATTCCATGTTATTTTTCTGTTGTTATTTAACTCTCTGGTGTTTTTTGCCTCATCGCCTCCTGAAATGTTTTGACCCTGGTTCGACCACGTGAAGCACTTTGTTTTGTGATGATCCGGCTCCTGGTAGAAACCTCCTGAACGGCCAACACCGAAGGAATCCTGCACTAAAAACAAACTGAGCAAACGCTCCAAATAAAGTACCAGGTACCAGATTTGCTCAGTGAAAAACAACCTTTCACCACGATGACGTCGTCACTTTTCTTTCTGTGTCTGCAGCCTTCAGTGAGCAGAGAGATTGAAGAATGCCTCCTGCTGACGTCACCGACCAATACTGGCTCTTATATATTTGCTTGGAACATATTGATCATATAGATGAAGAGCAGAGAGATGGATTGGGCTGCAGCTGAGGTCTGGAAAGTTTATTTTCTCCAGCAGAGTGAAATCAAACTCTCAGCCTCTCTAAAGTCTTTGTGGTCTGATTCCAGCTGCAGCAGCCAAGCGATCGGGAAAAGTCGCTTCATGTTCTTGTATGTGACGTATCAGAGGCAGCATCAGCCGTCAGTAAACCCAAACCAGCCGTCTGGAGTCTAAAAATAGCCTCGGCCCAGTCTGCACCAGGAATAGCCCTGACTCGGCCCGGCGAGCTCTGCAGCCGCCGTGAGGTCTGTTCCCCTCAGATGAATCAGCTGCAGCTCAAACACGCAAACTACCTCATACGACAAGATCCAGACGCTGCGAGTGAAGAGGCTGCAGCACGACCACTAACCAGGGAGCCTTAAACCTGCGTCCTCTCCAGCAGCCAGCAGGAGGCGACTCCACTGGATTGTGTAGAAGTCTATGAGAAAATGTTTCTACTTGTCAGCTGATTTATTCCCTCAGTAAACACTTTCCTGATGAGTTTATGGTCTCAGTCGCTAGTTTCAAGTCTTCTTCAACACAGCGTGATGTTCATTTAGTAAATTATGGTCCCATTTAGAGGAACAGAGACCAGGAAGCAGGGGAGGCTTTAGGGCGGGGCTACAAGCTGATTGACAGGTTGACTTCCGCCGGCCCAGCTGGCTAACTTCTGGTTTCGCCCTCCTCTAACTTTAATGGGGGTAAAATGATCAATCATGCAGCTCTTCTCGTTGTTTTTCAAACTAAATGGATCAAATTCTGACACTGAAACCTCAGAAAAATGTACCCACCAGTGTACAGCCGCTTCTTTCACAACGTAAGTCTGTGGGAAAATGTTCTTCCACAGAGAAGTATAAATTGGCCTTAAGAGCTTTGACCTTTTCAGAGTGCGTTGAAGGTTAACTGGAACATTTTTGGCCCTCAAAGCGTCTTGTTCGGAGTTCGGTTGGACTAAAAGACTCGGCTAATAACCTTTTCTGGTTAATAAATTTAGTTTTAAGTCTGTTTTTATACTAGCCAACATCAGCATCACGGTTAACGTGAATTACAGATGCACCTAGATAACCAAGCTATCTAGCTCCACCTTCTTGTCCAAATATGGTCACGTGTGGCTTCAAGAAACCAAGATGGCAACAGCCAAAACGCCAAGGCTTCAAAACAGTAATGATACGTCCACCGTCTCTTCCCGCAACCCTAAAAACATCAGGAGATAAAAACACAAGTCTAGGAGGAGGTGTGAGTTCAGACGTCTTCCTTTCATCGTCTGAAGTGAAGCCGTTACAGCTGTTAAAGAGCGCCTCCTACCTGTTGCTGCGGGTACTGCATCCCGCCCATCCCCATCTGGCCTCTGCTGGGCATCCCCATCGGGTATCTGTGGGGCCCGGGGGAGGCGTACGGCTGGCCGGAGTACGCCTCCCCGGGCTGCTGGGAGTACGGGTGGGAGCTCATGCTGTAGAGCTGAGAGCGCTTCATCGCCGTCGGGTCCAGCGGCGGCACCTGGAGGAGAGACACGGTTGGTTGATGAGACTTTTTAGCTTCAGCTCCCTTACGGCAGGTTTACTGTGACCTTTTTATCCAAAGATTCAAAAGCTGAGTGATGAACTTTCAACCTTTAAACCAACACGGAGGAGAAAACTGCGCAGCGTTTGATCTGCAGCTGAAGCTGGAGGGATGCAGTCGAAAGCTTCAGCGCAGCTGAACAGACTTGTGTTTAGGGAGTCCCGTGAAGGACATAATAGATCTGTAACGAGTCGGGAAAACAAACAACAAGTGGGACTAAAGCCCTCATGTCAGAGCAGATTCAGCAGGAGCAGCACTCAGACGAAATGTGAGCCATCCAAAAGCCCGGGAGGCCACTTTAACGTGAGCAGTCACGCCTGGGTACGCTTTAATATTCACACACACTGAATCTGACACACTGACATAATAACAGGTGACTCAGTGAGAACAGATGTTTCACTGCTGCTCAGACGGCTAAATATAGAAAGAGGTTCTGGATTTTACACCTGAAAGGAAAAAAAGATCTTTTCTGTGCACGACAGGTTTCCATCAGTCAGCTGACGGAAACACAAAACAAGTTCACAGGGCCGGGTGAGGTGAGAGAGGACGATCAATAATCCAGATGTAAACAAAGGGCGGAGCTCCAGGATGAGCAATCAACAGATTTAAAGGCAGACTCCTGTGATATTTCCTCAGGTTTCACTAAACAACTTTTATTGCAAACAGGATTAGTCGATATTATGATGCTGATCGCAGATAAAGCTCGACTTTCAACACCGAGGTTTGCATCAATGTGAGAAATGATTTATGGTGTATCAGGTGAGTCAGAAACAGACGTGAAGTCTCTTCTGGTCTCAACTTTAAACTGTAAACCCAGAGTTTGTGATGTGAAACGGAGAAAAGAAGAAAATCCACACAGTTCAGAAGCCGGAACCTGAGAAGATTTGCTGTTCTTGTAAAAATATAATTAACTGATGGGATCAAAATACTGGCTGATAATCTGTAGATCAACTTATTAGGGATCTCCATCAGAGGCCGGGGGGATATTCATCCCGCCACTGATCCCATATGTTAAATATAAATGAGACTCTGACACGATGCGATTTCACGCATGCAAAAGAATCCGATGCAAGATGGTACAGAGGGTTTGATTTTATTTCTTTGGTTCTTCTGAAACAAACAGCAAATGTTTATTTTTCCTTCACATCTTTGTTTCTTTAGTTCTGCAACTCAGTGAGAATCTCATTCATGCAGCAGGAGCAGCCGGGTCTGGACCTCGCCTTTGTTTCCTGCTCCCTGTATCCAGGTTCGCTTTGATAACCCCTCACACATTTACCTGTTGTCAGGAAGTGCTGCTAGCTGTACCGCCGGGGCCAGCTGGAGCTGATTCAAATCATGACGATGAACCGAACAAACTCGTTTTCCTACGTCTGGAGGACAGGATCTGCGGTCTCTACAGGACTTCATTACATGTCAAAGATTTGCAGCTTCTGCGATTTGCACATTGCGATATCGATATTCAGTTTTCCCCCCTAGCTGTCAGGGATTTATCTTTCAGAGGAGAAATCAGCAGATTAATCGATATTTCCAAGCAGCCTTATTAATGCAAGTGGTGGTAAAAGCTTCCTACTTTCTCCCAGTGAACTCCGACACTGAGAAGCCTCCACAGTGTCCCTGACATGGAGCAGGACTGACTGACTAATGGATTAATAATCAGCAGATCCATAATCGATAATTAGTGCTAGTTGCAGCCTATTTAATGCAAGTGTTGCAAAAAAAAGCCTCCTCTGACATGGAGCAGGACTGAGCGGGGACAGGAGAGGGGCCCCGGGGCAGAGTCCCCCGGCAGGCCCGGGGCTGCAGCGGGGTGGGGGGGGGGCAGCCTGAGGAGCTCTGGTGTTGTTGTGCCGGTGGTATAATGACCACATGGCTAATCTGCATGTGTGAAGGTCAGGGCTCTTGTGTGGACACGGGGCCATAACGGGCTCCCTGCCAACTAAGCTGAATCCGGATCACCAGCTGACAGGAGCCGGGGTGCAGCTCCTCCTCCACATGGTGGTCCGGTTAGCCCGGCAGGGAGGGCCGCAACAGAACTGAACCGGCATCAACACCTCGACTCACTTCAGAAGACACAATTAGCATAAAGTGGAGCGATTAGTCGGAGTGAGAGTTTGAGCTGTCAAACAAACAGCCCTCAGGCCCTTAAACCTCACTGTCCCCCAACTTTAATCCACAACAACATCACAGTTTAATGTAGTTTATTTCACAGCCGCCTCTCAGCTACACACATCCTCTTCAGGCCTGTGCGGGTTACAGCAGCTAATAATGCTAATGCTAGCTTAGCCTAGCAATGCTAAAAACGGAGTCACCTTGGACACGGAACTAAAAACACAGACTTTACTAACCGCTGTTAACTCAAACTTCTCTTATTTGTTGTTGCACGTGTGACTGGTTAGTTAAAGAATCATCTTTATTTAAGTATTTATCACAAATAAGCACGTAAAAGTGTGTCGAGCTGTTTAAATTAAACGTCGATCTGCGGTGTAACTGACGTTAGCATAGCGGCTAGCTGGCTAGCAGGTTAGCTTCAGTTAGTTTATTACACCAGAACAACAACAACAACAACAACGCGCCGGGCTGTAATAACTCACCGGGGCTCTGCCGCCGCCCTGCCCGTTGTTCCCCGGGCTCATGGCCGGGTGGTTTCTCTGTCCGGCCCAGCCGTACTGCAGCTCTTTAGCCAGCCCCAGGCTCGGCTGCTGCTGTGCGGGAGGAGGATTATTATAATCTGCATATCCACTTCCATAACCGCGCATCATGGTGCTCGGAGAGGTCAATAACTGATTCAGAGTCGGCGTGGCTCCGGACGGGTGCAGCTGCTGGTGCTGGCCCGGTCCGGGGAACCGCTGGAACCCGCCGTTGTTGCCGCCGCCGCCGCCTGCAGCAGCTCCTGCCGGGGCGCTGGTAGCGGCCATCGCCGCTTTGCTGTGGTTAGCAGCGGCCGAGCTGCCCGGGCCCAGCAGGTTGTTCCCCGGCCGCGAGGGGCTCATCATGCCGCCGTACCCGCTGTTCCCGTAGCCGGGCCGATAGTTCGGGTAGTGGTTATACGGGCTGTTGTTGTTGTACCCTTCGTGGGAGTTCTGAACCTGATCCATAGCGTTGAGTACCGAGTGCGCCGCTCTTATTACCCGAGTCCCTGGTCTTTGTTGTCCGCCATGTTGATCGAAGCAAGGCCCTCCTCTTCCATTCCCATAATAATGATTAAACTCGGTCCCGCTCGGAGGAGGGTTGTTGTTGGAGGTGTTGGTGGCTGAACCCAGGCTGGCATCCATCCGCTCCTCCTCCTCTTCCTCCTCCTCCTCCTCTTCCTCCTCGCTGTTGTTCAGCTGGTGCTGCTGATGGCGCTCCTCCGCTCGGCTCTTCCCCACCAGGAGGATGTTCTCCTTCCCTCCATGCTGCTGTCTGGCCCCGCTGCTCTCCCCCCGCGGCTCCCCCTGGCCCTGCTGGATGATGATGTTGTTGTTGTTGTTGTTGTTGTTGTTGTTGTTGTTGTTGTGGGTTTGCCGCTGGTGGTGATGTTGCTTCTGGATAAACTGGCTGAACGGCGGAGGTGTGCGGTGGGATGATGATGATGATGATGATGATGATGATGATGATGATGATGATGATGATGATGGTGGTGGTGGAGGAGGAAGAGGAGGAGGAGGAGGTCCAGTATCACCAGCAGCTCCGCCGCTGCCGCCGAGGGTTTTCACTTTATGCCCGCCGACCATCCCTGTCTCCATGTCGGTCCCACTAGAAGCGGACCCCGGCCTGGCTCTCCTGGCTTCACCTCCTCCAGCGGCGCGGGTTCTGGTCCCGGGAGCCGGGCTTGGATCCGCTTCAAGATCTACATTATTCATGTTGATGGTGCAGCAGCAGAACCACCAGCTGGGACTCTCTCGGTAACATTAAAAAGACGTCTTCCTACCGGCGGATGCCGGTTGCGCTGCCGTGGTCAGGTGCGCACGGCCCGGCCAGAGTCTCCTGGTCACCCGGCGGACTGTGAGCAGACACCGCGGAGCGCAGAGGAGGACAAGAAAACATAACAGTCGAACTTAATGTTTCAGAGAATGTCCCCCCCACCCCCCTTATGTAGTCTTCAGGTAGGACAGGTGCGCCTGTCATGGGCCAGTTAATCCCCATTCAGCAACGCAATGAGCCATGTAGACCCCACACAGTGCTTATCCTACCATACAATACCCATAAGGTTTATAATGGGCTGCTGCTAAAGGTGATTGTTCCATGAAGTTATTAAATTACTATTTGACTCACAGCAACATCTGAGGCTGAACCCAGTGCATTGTGGGGCATTTTTCGTATTGTCAACAATGAATTGATGGTCAAAATATTTAATTCTCTGGAACATTAAGTTCTACTTTTTATTTTCTGTTTACTAATTATTGACTGATTGTTTCAGCTCTGTCATGTCAACAAGGAACAAAGTAGCAAACAGCAGCAACAAGATGATAATATGTTTTCATCTTCACATAAAAGAGTCAAAGTGCATCTTGACTGTATTTGTGCTTGATCCGGGATCTTGATGGGGCGGGTCTCTGTACATATGTGGGCAGTCTCTGATTTCCCTTTCTTGGACAACTTGAGTCCCGTTGGGTCTAAACAGGACCTTTAGGAGCAGCCTTAAGTCCAAGCTGGACCAACCTGGCTCCTATCCCGGCTCTCTTTCCTCTCCTCTGGTCCCACTTTGGTTCCTGGTCCAGTTGATCTGGCTGGTGGATCGTCTATGGTCCGCTGCTCGTAGCTCATCTTACATGCAAACATGTTATTACCTGGAAAGGTGTTCACAAACGTTCAACTGATTATCATACAACACTTTTAAACTTTATTAAAATTAGCATATTTTACCCATTAAGTACACATTAGCATGGATCCATCGGACTCGTCCTTATAACACGATTTACCCTGCGAGGAGTTCGACCAAAGAGTGAGTTTAGCTCCTCAGGTTGTGTAGTTTGAAGGACTTTCAGAAGTATCCAGTGTAAAAAGGCGACAATTAGAGAAAAACATAATTTTGTGAACCGGACGACCCCTCAGATTTATCCTGGGACCCTTCTGGAGGTCTTGACCCTCATGTAGAGAACCACAGTGGAAACAAAGAATCACCAAAGCACAAACATAAAAACTGTCAATTTAAACTCAAGAGAAAATCTGTTTGCTGATGGTAAAAAACACACACTGCTGGCTCTTGAAGTCTTGAAGCTTTTTCCACAGTCTGAGAGGAGACAAAGCTACTCCGACACGAGCTGGTCGGCAACACGTACGGCTGAACCCGAGCTGTTTACTTGCAAATGAGCAGAATACCACCTCTTTAAATAAAAACATTAAATGTTGACTTTTTGTTTCACACAGCGGAATCGGATCTTTTCCAGTTTGGATTTGGGCCACTTTTATACAGATCCAGATACAATCAGTTTATTTCTGTTCACCACTTTATGATTGCTTTTATATCACTGTACATTGTCGTAGCAGAAGGGAGTCACAAACCCAATTTCACTTTACAGCCTGTTGCAATGTGACAAATAAACCTGCACTTGTACCCTAAACCCACCTAATCCTAACCTTAACCAACGGCAGCAACAAGTGCTGTCCAATCAGAGGAGAAATGTAGTGAAACTCTGTCACTCTGTCAAAACAATAACGTGTACATGGAGGCTGCTTACACACGTCTCTTTTTTTCAAAACTCCACACACAATTCTCAAACAAAATGCAAAATGCCTCATATCTCCTTCAAAATGAAACTTTCAAAATGCCATAAACGCTTCCCAGAATGAAGCAGATGGCTACACTTTTTTCAATACAGTAAGTTCGTTGATATACCATTTCCACACTGTGTCAAAATCTAAAGCTCATTTGTCTTTCACAGGCTTGTGTGTACATTTCCATACAATGTAGAGTGAAACTGATCTGCTAAGATGCTGAAAAGTAAACTGTAAACACCAAATGCAAACTCAAGTTGGGCTCATACTCAAGCGTCTCTCATGGGCAACCTGTGGTCACATGATCAGTTAGTGTGGCCCTGATCTCAGCAGCGATGGATCTCCTCCTTCTCTTCTTTGCCCTCTCCCACCTCCTCCACTTGCTCTCTGTCCATTGTTGACATCCATTGTTCAAAACAGGTAATTTGACCTTTGACCTATGTGTAGGCCTGTAGTAAAGCAGTGATTGGTTACAGATCAGTTAAGCAGTTAGTGTTTGCACATGTGAGGAGGGGCTGTGAGACGCGGTGAATGGTTTTGGCATTTTAGTGTTTGGTTGTGTTTTGAAAAGGAAAACAAGTCACTTCCTGTTAGATTTTTGTGTCTTAGGTAGATAATTGTGTGTAGTGTTTTGAAAAAAGTGTTTTATGCAACTGAAAACGGAGTGAAAGGCTGAGAAACAGTTCGTGGTTTTGGAAATTTCAGATGAGGTTTGTTTCAAAACTCTTGTGACATTGTAAAGATTTTGTGCGTAAGCAGTTGTAAAAAACTATAACATGCAGCGTGCTGTGTATAAAATGTGAACAGTCAACCAAACAAATCAGAATTTAAGGTGTGCAGTGTGAACGCAGCCTGAAGGTGTTTTCTGCGTTAAAACCTTGCGGATGGAAACACACTTACTGATGTTCTGAATAAAATAACTGCTTTCAAACATGAGCAGCTTTCAAATGAGCCTTTTAAAGACTGTGGCTCTGACCTGAATAATGATCAGATCGATCAGATAAAACTCTCTGCAGTCACGATACCTGAACACATTAAAGCTGAACTTCACAAATGAAAAGGAAAGCGTTGCTGTGTGTTTGCATGTGTGCGTGTGTGTTTGCATGCGTATGTGTGTGTGTGTGCGTGCGTGTGCAGGGACCTCCCACAGCAGCACTGGAAACAGCCCAGTCGATTGGAGCAGGGAAACTGGGTCAGAAAGCAGCAGCAGCTCTCAGAAACACGACGCAGACGCCAAACACAGAATCAGGGTCAGACTGATGTACGAGAGCTGCAGATCCTCAGCGCACGTCTGCTCCTCCAGCCTCCTCCCAGATAATGAGTGTGTTTACATGCACGAGTGTCCTGGTGGTGATCAGGGTTTTGGAGGATCCCAGTTAATGTGCTGTCCATGTAAACATCTTGTCTCGTTTTTCTGGAGTACAGGCTGATGCTGTGGCACGTGAACACCTGATCCAGGATTCTGATATATGCTGAAGAGTTAAGACACACATGAGAAGAAACCTGTTTACAAGTTTCCCATGAAGACGTCACAAATAATCTAAACCAGGTCTTGGTCTGTCCTTACAGTCTGGTGTAACACCTGTACTGCTGTCAATCAAACACTGGCAGGGACACGCCCTCCAATCGGCTGAGGGGAGGAAGATTTCTGATGTTTCCCCAAAAAGACATTTTCTCCCCTTTAATTAAAGAAAAACTATTAACAATAGATTAAAAAAAATCACATTTACATTATTATTAACTAAGAGTCATGAGTAAATGTGATTTCAGTTGGACTTTAAGCATCAATTTATATGTTTTAGCCCATTTCACTTTAATCAATGGGTTTAAATCTGCTTTGGTTTCCTCATAGGTAGAAATCTGTGTTCAGGAAGAAGATTCAACCAACAGAAAATAACAGCATGCTGCCCTCTGCTGGAGCTCCTGAGGATCCAAACATGGACCTGCAGTCTAAACCGGTTCACTGTCTGTAAGTCTGCTGCAGAATCGTCTCACAGTTTGCTAAAGTTTGAATTATTTGCTCATAAACTAATCTTTTATTTCAGAGCTGGAGAACATGTGATCCACGTTTAGCTACGACAGCGTGAAGAAATTAGATTCATAAATTTTTGTGAAAAGCTTTAAAATTGCATCAAGTTTTAAGGATGTCAAAGGAAATGCTGAAGTCAGACACACACTCGCTGACCAAAAAAAATTTTTTACTGTCGAATCAAAAGTCACTGAAGGTAAAAGTGGCTGTTATATTACATGTTTGTTGCCTGAGTAGTGGAACAAACTGCAAATCGTCCAAGCTGGTGTTGAGGTCTGAAGAAGAAAAAGTTCCCCTTCAGTGGCTTCAATCTTATTTGTTTTTTAAATATAAAGTAACTATAAGTAGTGCTATAATTGAACAACTCTGTGGTCCAACAAACCATTCATAATTTACTGCACTGAAAAAAATTAGACATAAATAACTTCTTGATCTATTTTTGCTAAATATATTTTTTTGCTTAAACCCTGATTTGAACTGTGAAAGTAATATTTTCTCCTGTGTTTTTTAATTATTTGTCCAAATAGTTGAAACTAAACATTGAACATAACATTGAGGTGTAATTTATGCACACTGAGTTAATGAGAAACCTCAAAACCCAAAGAGAAATTTTAATTTAACTGGATTTAATGGAAGCAAACATGTTTAGTTTAGTCCTGTATTATTCTGTCTTTACGTTTCA